ACGACGTAAGCAACTGTCACATTGCATATGCGAAGTAGGGGAATGCACACGCAAACATAGTCATTTGTGATTGCGACGTTGGCAAGCCACATTGCTGCAGCGTTTGCAAGCCGTGTTGGCGCGCTGCTGGTAGGTCGCCGCCAATCAGCGTCGGCAAGCCACCTCCCAGCTTCGCTGGCAAGGTGTCGACTTCCAGTGCCGGCATGTTGCTTCCGTGCTGCGTTGGTGGCCGACATGCATGTATGCTAGTTTGGTAGGCCTCTGATATAGTCATTGTCGTTACTGCGTATTCCTTTTGTATGTTTGTTTGTTTATTTGCTTGTTTGTTTGTTTTTTCCTCTTTCTATTTTTTTTGCTAGTGAAACTCTTGCCAACTTTCCCTATCAATGCGGTAGTAAAGAGAACACAAAGAAACAATATGATCAATCGTACCATCCATGCCTTTCCCCGTAGTCTAGCTCCCGGAATACAATGACTCTCCGTATGGTGCGGTGAGCGTGAAGTAGACCGGGGTTCGTTTATTGTTGTCGACAGATTTTTTGTGCGATAATTGTGGACCCACTCAGTGAAGGGAGTGTTGGAAGTGGACATTGGAATAATCTAAAGTGGTCTCCCCAAAGGCTAGAGGTGTCGTCATTGGGGGGGTATGAGTGCGCTGGCCCACATAGGAAACGTGCCATTTTGTCGTAGTTGGTTAAAGAATTGAAGCTATATCTATAACGACACACAAACCCACAACGACGTGGAACCTTTTCAATAATTTAAACATCACAACTATTGCAACTACTTGGTCCTTCTGAGCTTCGGTCCGCACGAGCACTTCAGACCATCCGGATATAGATAGATTTTTTTTGGTAAGAAAATGTTACAATCCCAAACAGGACTTAGCCAGGAATCCAGCCCAGGGTTGTTCGCAAGTAGTGCAGCGGAAATGTGGACCTCAGATCAGAGTGAATGTAAATGATTGAGTTGATACAAACATGCACACATCGAGTTTATTTAGGAATACAGAGAATTATAAAAAGACACAGACTAGGCATGTACTCTACGGGGTGCATTTTCTTATTACAGCAACCCGTTTCAAACATGTTTTTGCTCTTTTCAATAAAAAATGCTTCTGCCTGCATCGGTCTTGGTCTGACGGTTGATGGTGTCGCTTCGATGCTTCTGACTCATCGATTTAGTATTGGTTAGAGCCGGCTCCTTCAACGTACAGGGAATGCCTTGTCATAGAGTTTTATATCTCAACAGAAAAGTTCGAATTCTGGCCAAAAGTGAAATGTTTACACACCCTAAACAATAGACAAACCCTGAATTTGGCTGGATTATAAGTGTCAATCTGCTTTTTGCAGGATAAGTTCAAATATTTACCCATATTTACAGGGTAGTCTGGGCAAAACATCCTGCAAACAAGTGAGCCGTTTGAAAGATTCGAAGTGGAGGCTCGGCATGATATGTCTGACACAAAACGACCCTCCAATTTGTGAACCACATGGCTTTCTTGATTTTTCAGGGCTCTCCCGCTTGATCATCGCACCGCACCTCACCTCGTCGCTTTGCAACCCATAAACCACCAAGCACTTGTGCACACCTGCACTTATCGGTACAGTAATTCCTGGGAAATTCCTTCCTTGCCCCCCTGTACTGTACTCCCGGTTGACTTCCAGAAATTTCTCACCCCACCAGAGTGGACTGTGGGTCTTCGCACCATCCTCGGCAGAGAGGCATGAACAGCAACAGCACACCACACTGTTTCCGAACCTCGTGTCAGACCGGACAGCGGCACTGTAGCAGCCAGCCACCACCAAAAACCTATTCCCAGACCAGACCACCGACCAACGGACCATGGCATTCAAGCACCGAGCAGCACAGCCTCGGACGGCACCCAGCCTTGACCAGACACGCAGCCAGGGGTGAGGTTTTAGAGGATTTTCCCCGAGTGTGTGTTTGTCTGTCCCCAATGCCTGCTGCTTCACTCACCGAACCGAAGCGAAACCAAGAAGCCGCAGCACGCCAGAACGGCAAAAGCGGATGATGCAGGGAACTCAACATCCGCTCGCCACCACTACGTTCTGTATGGGTTTGTTCTCCTCACTCGCCTCGCAGGCTGCAGGCAGTCTTCACTTGTGTTTGCAGAACGATAGTAGCTCACCGATTAGTCGCCTCGGCACCTTCAGTCTTTCGTGTACCAAGCCCAGATCCTGCCACATACCGTATCACTAACGGTTCGCTGCAGTACAGTATAGTAGCTGTATCAAACCCTCGCCTCCGTCGTTCGTCCCACGGAGCAGTGTCATTGCCTCCGAGGCGCCTGACCCCATCATATATGTAGTAGTAGCTCGGGGCGACGTCCGGCTCTTGAACCAGTTCTGAGGCGTCTGAATAGCCAATTAGGTGGAAGCAGACGCACCTGAATTTCTCATAAAAAAGAAAGCATACTACGCACTCGAGCCGCAGAGGCCTCTCGCCCCATGTAGTCGTGTTATTACTAGCGGGATGTGCGGCGGCGATGCCGTGATGCCCGGCCAACGGCTGCAACCGATGGCGTCGAATCCAGGAATTACCAGCCCATCATCCATGATTCATCGAGAACTGCCGTTCACCGGTCGGCAGAGTCAGCGTACCTCGCCGTTAGAAATCTTTTCGCGACCAACGCCGTCGCCTTCGCCGACACCGACACCGACACCGACACCACCGGCAGGAGTGAGTCACTTCTACTGTAGGGACACACGCTACTTTGACCAAAATCTACCGTTCTAAACGTCTGCGCGGATTCTTCTTACTAGCCGCGCGCCGAGTCATTGTTGATCCCCGCCTATTTGCTTTAAAGACTCAAAATGCGGGATCATGTTACGGACTAGTAGCTCTATATCGTGGCAGGGAGTGGCGAGGCAATGTTCAAAGGGCCCTTAGCAGCAGCAGCAGCAGCTCAGGTAGTTCCGCCGTGAACGCAAAAGCGCCTCATTTACCACGGCGGCCCAAGGCCGCGAACGTGAGTGCGACTGCGAGTGCGACTGCGAGCGCGAATGCAACTGAGAATGCGACTGAGAATGCGAGTGCGAGTGCGAAACGCGGCGTCGGAGGCACCTTCACCCCGCCTTGCCGTCTCTTCGTGGGGTCCAAAATTCCTCCGTTGCCCACACATCTTCAACCATTCTTGCACCTCACCCATTCCCGAACCTCATCCCAACCGGGATCTTCGCTAGAAATTCCTGCGCGGCGGGTTGTCCGTAGCGCCGTGCTGTCCACGCTTCCAAGCGTCACAATTCGGCTTTCGAGACGTCTCAAAAGTTGGCCGTAACGTCGTATCGTCCACGCTCTCAAGCGTTTATTAGCGTCACCATTTTTGAGTCGACTCAGAAGCAGAGATTCCGCGCGGCGTTGTCAATAACGTCGTATAATTGTCCACGCTCTCAAGCGTCACAATTCGGCGGCGCCATAGTACCCCCCACTCCCCTGTTCCCCTTCACCCCCCTTCACCCCCCAACCCCTCTCCGCTTCACGCCCTCCTCCATCTCCCTCTGCCCTCATCCTTCATTATGTCTCCCCTCCCTGTGCCCTCACACTCGCACTCACTCCCCCCCCCCCCCACACACACTCACACACACACTCACACACCCACACTCACACTCTTACCCCCAAGGCGCAGGGTGTGAGAAGCGGCCACGGGAACTGCAACGGAGAGGCAGCAGAGACCACTCTCGGCATGGGTGGAGAGGGGCGCGGAGAGGTCGGAAGCGGTGGGGGATGTAAGGGGAGAGCTGGTGGCAGTAGTGGCAGTATGAGTACCAGCAGCAGTGGTCCCAGCGCTAGTGCTAGCAACAGTACCCATAGCCATTATGTTAATAGCCATAGTGTTATTAGCAGCCGGACTAGGAGGAGCAGGTGTAGGAGCACGTGTGCTGGTAGTGGGTGTGCTTGTAGAGGAAGCGTGGCTTATAGCAGTAGCAGTGACGGTATCGACGCTGGCATGCCTTGGTCCATCGCACCTAGTTCTGCACAGGCCCACGCTTCTGCCGCTGCCGCCACCGCCGCTGCCGCTGCTGCTGCTGCTACTGAGTCGAACCAAAAGGAGAAGGTCCAAGGAGATTCGTCCTCTTCCACTCATCAACATCATCAGCAGAAACAGCAGCAACAGCAGCAGGCAACGCAGGCTCAGGCTTCCCAGCACACACTGACGGCTCCGCATCAGCATCAGCATCAGCAGCCCGGCTGTGCCCAACCAGCTAGCAGCTTTTTCGGATCCAGGGGGAAAAACCTCGGGGGTGTAGAGAGGGGTGGGGAGCGGTCCAGGGGACGGCTGCTGCAGCCGGGACGAGAGTGGAGGAGGGTCCGAGCAGGGGGGTTTGCGCTCGGACCTCTGCTCTCGTGGCACGTGTGGGCGGTTGTGTTTGCAGTGGCTGCTGTGCTTCTCAGCAGCAGCGCTCGTTTCTGCCTGCCGGTTGCTGCGGCGGGGTCCATGATGCCCCTCTTGCCAAGCCAATGTACGTGCTTGCTATGCTACCATACCACCACTCTGCCCCGTTTCTCCTCCCCGTTCTTTTCCTCCTCCTCCTCCTACTCTCACCCCCCTTCTCTCTCCCCTCCCCCTCCTCCACCCCCGCGCTCCTCCCCGTGCCTATTCCCCTCTTCTTTCGTTTTTCTCCCATATTTCCATGTTCCGCATTCTCCTCCTTCCCTTCTGGTCCATTTCTCTTCAACTGCCGCTTCACCGCCGTTCCCTGCCGTATCCCCTCCGCGTTCCACTCACTTCCATCCCTCTCGTCTCCCTCTCTCCGTGTCACCCCTTTCCCCAACTTTCCGGTTGAAACCTCCCTCCCCCCTTCCTCCACCCCACCTCCTCCCCTCCCTTTCCCCCTTCTCTCCCACCCCACCACTTTCCCCCACTCCCTCACCCGCCCCACCCATCCCCACACTCTCTCCCCCACCCTCCTCTCGCCCCACTCCCCGCGCGCAACCACTCGCGCACCCACTCCCACTCCCGTACGCACGCCTTGCAGCGCAAGTGCTGGAGGCGCTGAAGACGGAGTGGGGGGCGTTCCCAGCAGCGGCGTCATGGACATCAGGCGCCATGTGTGACTCGCTCGTGGGCGTGCTCTGTGACGAGCACGGCCAATACATTCAGAGCCTGTCAGTCTCCTCCCTCCCCTGCCCGCCTGCCTGCCTGCCTGCCTGCCTGCATGCCTGCCTGCCTGCGTGTCTCCCTGCCTTCTTCCCTTCCTGCCTTCCTCCTGCCATGTGCGACTCGCTCGTGGGCGGTCTCTGTGACGAGCACGGCCAGTACATTCAGAGCCTGTCAGTCTCCCGCCTGCCTGCCTGCGTTCCTGCCCGCATGCCTCCTGCCCGCCTGCCTGCATGCCTGCGTGTCCTCGTGCCTTCTCCCGTCCTGCCTGCCTCCCTCCATGCCGACTCGCTCGTGGGTGTGACCTGTGACGAGCATGGCCAGTACATCCAGAGCCTGTCAGTCTCTTGCCTGCCTGCCTGCTTGCCTGCCTGCCTGCCTGCCTACAGGGGCTTGCCTTTGAATTGCCTTGTCTTGCTCTGCCTTGAGTGATGCGCGCCTTGATGTGTGATTCACGCGCTGAGTCGGGCATGGCGGGTGCAGTGCTGCAGCGGAGACAGGTAGTCGTGCAGAGTGTGGTGGGTTCCCATGCCTGTCATGTGCTCTTGTCGAGTGCAGTGCAGTGCAGTGCAGTGCAGTGCAGTGCGGTGCATTGCTGAAGCCCAGTTCAATGTCGTTTCGAGGGGGGGGGGGGGGGGGGAAGGGGGAGGAGGGGGGGGGAAGGGGGGGCAACGTAGTGCAGTTGGATTGAGTTGAGTGGAGTGGAGTGGAGTGGAGTGGAGTGTTGTGCATCGCAGTTCGGTTTAGTCTGACTCTTCAACACCCTTTTTCCGCACTCCCAACGCGTCCGCAGTTTAGCACAGCACAACGCAGCGCAGCATCTCTTGAGATGTCTCAGAATCAGTTCAAATTGTGTGCGCGCTGCTGCATCTCCCCCTCTTCCCCCATCCCTCATCCGTTGTCTTCTTTTCCTGGTGGCGGGCGGGCGGGTGCTGCAGGGTGTTGGACCTTTGAGTCGACTCAAAAGTCTCCCCCGCTTCCCCTCTTCCCTCGGCCCTCATCCGTTGTCTTTTTTTCCTGGTGGCGGGCGGGCTGGGTGCTGCAGGGTGCTGGACTCACAGAACCTCACAGGGTCTATCCCAGGGGCCATCACAAACCTCATCGCGCTGCAAGTGCTGTGAGTGCCAGTAGCGGCTGGGCAGTGATGCGAGTGCTGCGAATGATGCGAGTGCTGCGAATGCTGTGAGTGCCGGTAGCGGCGGCTGACTTTTGAGACGTCACAAAAGCAGAACCTCACAGGGTCCATCCCAGGGGCCATCACAAACCTCATCACGCTGCAAGTGCTGTGAGTGCCACGCCAGTAGCAGCTGGGCAGTGATGCGAGTGCCTTTGAGGGCCTTTGAGTGCCTGTGAGTGCCTGTGAGCTTGTGTGGGTGCGTGTGTGAGTGCGTGTGAGTGCTATGGTGTGGTGGGTTGACGACGCGAAGGGGAATGTGCAGAACGAAGCGGTGGTTGGTGTTTGTTCATGTCAGTAGTACGTACCTGTGCTGCTACCACCTAGCTTGTACATGCTACATTGGTGGTCCATACCATACTGATTCTCACATGCTTCTGCATGACTCTCTCTCTCTCTCACTATGCGTGTGTGTGTGCATCCTGCCTGCCCTGCGCGCCCTCTCCAGATCCCTCAGAGACAACCAGCTCAACGGCGGCATTCCCTTCTTCATCAACGCCCTCGCTGCTCTCACCGAACTGTACGTTAACATCCACATAAACACCCTCGCCAATCCTTCCACTTCTCATTCTCACCCTCTCCCCTTCTCTTCTCCCCTCCTCTCCCCTTCTCCCATTCCTTCCTCTCCCCTTCTCCCCTTCTCCCCTCGTCCCGACCCCGCTGTTCATTCCTCGTCATCCCATCAGTGCTTCTTTCCTCCCACCCTCAGTTCTCTGAATCTTCATCACTCATCCTTTCCTCTGATGTAACAGTCACCATACATAAGGAGGGGTCATATGTTATAAGCCCACCCACTCGCGCATGCGATTCCCAGCACCTGTTTGCTGTTTGTTCAATCAGAACCCTTTTACCTCCCTCTAGCGTGCCCAGATGCTCTTCTCTCCTCCGTTCTTGCTGCCTTCCCACGGTCTCTCTCTTTCTCTCTCTATTTCTCGTTTGCAGGGATCTGGGGAGCAACAGGTTAACGGGGGGCTTACCTCTTGGACTGTCCGTTCTCACCTTGCTTCAGAAGCTGTGAGCTCACCATGCCATACCATGCCATGCCATGCCATGCCATGCCATGCCATGCCATGCCATGCCATGCCATGCCATGCCATGCCATGCCATGCCATGCCATGCCATGCCATGCCATGCCAAGCCAAGCCAAGCCATGCCATGCCATGCCATGCCATGCCATGCCATGCCATGCCATGCCATGCCATGCCATGCCATGCCATGCCATGCCATGCCATGCCATGCCATGCCATGCCATGCCATGCCATGCCATGCCATGCCAAGCCAAGCCAAGCCATGCCATGCCATGCCATGCCATGCCATGCCATGCCATGCCATGCCATGCCATGCCATGCCATGCCATGCCATGCCATGCCATGCCATGCCATGCCATGCCATGCCATGCCATGCCATGCCAAGCCAAGCCAAGCCATGCCATGCCATGCCATGCCATGCCATGCCATGCCATGCCATGCCATGCCATGCCATGCCCTGCCCTGCACTCCCGAGTCCCATCCGACTGTGCCACTGTGCCTGTCTCGCTTAGCATGCCCCCCTCCCATGCTTCCCATGTGTCCCTTCTCTTCCCATTCGTTCCCTGTTGAGCAGGCATGTGGGGGACAACAAATTGGAGGGGTGGATACCAGCAGATTTGAATGCTCTCTCTTCCTTGACCAGCATGTGAGCCACGCCACTCCACCACACATTTCGTGCCTCCTCTTCCATTCCCTCCCTCCTTCGCTCCATCCCTCCCTCCGTTCCTCCCTCCCTCCCGTGCTCCCTCTGCCCGTCTGGCCCTCCTGTCCGTCTTTCCTCCCTCCCTCCGTGTCCCCCTCCCTCTTTCCCTCCCTCTCTCTGTCCCTCACCAACCCTGATTACGACTGATTCAACCCTGGTCTCTCTGAGTCCAGACCCGTTGCTGTATTGCTGTTGAATTGGTTGGAATCAGTCGTAATCAGACGCTGTTTTGTGCGTGCGTGCGTGCGTGCGTGCGTGCGTGTGCGACGTACGTACATATCTCCCCATGTGTTGCTTGTGGCTTCCTGGCTTCGTGCCGCTGTGTGACACCATGGTTTCATGGCTTAATGGCTTCCTGGAATCATGGCTTCCTGGAATCATGGCTTCCTGGAATCATGGCTTCCTGGAATCATGGCTTCCTGGAATCATGGCTTCCTGGAATCATGGCTTCCTGGAATCATGGCTTCCTGGTTTCATGGCTTCCTGGAATCATGGCTTCCTGGTTTCATGGCTTCCTGGAATCATGGCTTCCTGGTTTCATGGCTTCCTGGAATCATGGCTTCCTGGAATCATGGCTTCCTGGAATCATGGCTTCCTGGAATCATGGCTTCCTGGAAACATGGCTTCCTGGAATCATGGCTTCCTGGAATCATGGCTTCCTGGTTTCATGGCTTCCTGGAATCATGGCTTCCTGGTTTCATGGCTTCATGGAAAAATGGCAGGGATTTGAGTGACAACCAGCTTTCAGGGCCCATACCTGCGGAATTCTCGTCCCTGTCCGGGCTTCTTGAACTGTAGGCATCACTCCGCACCGCACCGCACCGCATCGCTCTACACGACACGACACCTCCCACCCCCACCTTACCCCCCAATCCACACCTCCCCCCTCCTCCCCCCCATTACCTCTATGTTCTCTCATTCAATCCTCATCCCACCTTCTCCCCTCGTGCCCCATGACCCCCTCACACCCTCACCTCTCTCCCACCCTCACCTCACACACTCACACCCTCAGCTCCTCACATCCGTACCACCATCACCCCCAATCATCACCCCCATCACCCCCCATCACCCCCCATCATCCCCAATCACTCCCCATCACCCCCCATCACCCCTCATGACATCAGGCGGGTGGATAACAACTTGCTGTCGGAGAGCCTGCCTTCAGAGCTGAGCAAGCTGATATCTCTATCCGTGCTGTGAGTGCAGTGCCCCCCCTCTTCCATGCCATGCCATGCCGTGCTACTGCCCTTGAATTGAATTCACTGCCCTCGGCACGTCACTTCACTTCAACTCGGCCCCGCTGGCACGCACTCCGCTCCACACCCACTACCTGCATGCACCATATTCTTCATGTCACTCCACCCAACTCCATTCCACCCCGCTCAACCACACTCCACCCCACTCCACCCCACTCCACCCCCAGCTCGATGTCCAATAACATGTTCTCCGACTCCCTGCCTCAGGCGTACAGCTCGCTGGTCGGCCTGCGGTACCTGTGAGTGGCCTGCCTGCCCTGCCCGCCCTGCCCCTGATTGAGTTTTATTTTTCCTGCAGAAGCTCCTGTGCACACTGCACTGCACTGCACTGCACTGCACTGCACAGCACTGCACTGCCCCTGGTTATTGTGTTGAGGTGCCGCTGCCTGTGATGTGATGCCCACTGCTTGGCAGCGCGCCCTCTCGTCTCTCATCTCTCATTTCTCAGCTCAAATAGATCATCACTCTTCTCTTACAACCCCAATCCCTCATTCCCACATTCCATGCCCTTTCACAGTCCTGTCTGCATAACTAGTCTGTTGGTTTGGGTGTACATTAGCGTTTTACCCTAGTTAGGTTGGGTTGGGTGTGGATGCCATTGGCATCCCAACACAGTGGGTCACTTTGACGATAGATAATATTTGTTGTCGCCCCCCTCCCCCTCCCCCTCTCTCTGTTTGCAAGTCGATGCATACCTTAGCATTTCTGGTAGGACCACCTCCCTATGCCCGCTTCAGCTAACTCTCCGAGTCACCTATCAAGAATGTGTTTGCGAACTGCTCCTGTGTGCGTGCGTGCGCGTGCGTGTTGGTCCTCCAGAGCCCTTGACAATAACCGCTTCACAGGCCCTCTACCCGACTCGTGGAGTCAGCTCACCCTGCTGGAAGAACTGTGAGCGCAGCAGTTGATCGAAACAACAACAGTAACTGCACACACGCACACAGAAGCACACGTGTGTGTTGCAAGCATCGATATAGGCCAGAGTACAAGACATGCTTGCAAGGGCTGTTGAGTCTATAGCCCTCTGTGCTTCCTTCCCGCCTATCCCTCTCATGCGTAATGCTCTGCTGGTCATTATGCCCGGCAGCCTTGCATCAAAACACCTCCGTCATTCCCTGTATACCCTCTCACCTTCTCCCCTTCCTTTTTCAACCGCCGTTCTTCCTGTTTCCCCCATTCTTCCCTTCCGCCCGCCTGCCCTGCCCTGGCCCGTTTGCATGTGGGTGTGTGTGCACCCACCGTGCATTTCTCCTCTGCTTATCTCAGCTTTGCGTCGCGCAACCAACTGACTGGCGTTATCCCTATGTCGTGGGTTGCTTTAAAATCTCTCCGCCTCCTGTAAGCTCGACTACATTTTCGTAAACCCATTGTGTTGTACATTGTGCCTATTATTGAACCGATGCCTATTGGTGGAGTTGGTAACCGATGCCTATTGGTGGAGTTGGTAAGCGAATCATCGCTTGAATTCGCTGCGCACTTCTCACTCCGCACCCCTCTTGCGATATTCAGGTTGTTCTTAAGAATAATAAAGAACCCATTTGCAATATTTAGAGGCGAAAGTACACACCTCCATTCCATGCATTGCATACTATTCCTTCCTCCTCCCGTCACCTCCCTGCATCCATGGGCTTGATAGATAGACTATACACCTGACATACAGACATGCTGTGTAATTTTTTTGGCACAGTATGCCAACTCCTGCTGCCGCCGCCGCCGCCGCTGCTGCCGCCACCACCACTGATTTATGTCGGCATTCGCGCCTGTGTGCATGCGTGTGTGCATGCGTGTGTGCATGCGTGTGTGTGTGCGTGCGTGTGTGCATGCGTGTGTGTGTTCGTGCAGGGACCTGTCTTACAACGCACTGTTTGGCCTCATTCCTGATGTGCCGCCTACTTCAGAGCTCACGTATTTGTGAGTCAACGCGCTCACTTCTCACTCCTCTTCTTCCTGCTCCTCCCACTTTTTCTGCCCCTGTTTCTGTCTCTGTCCCTCTTCCTGTCTCTATCTCCGTCTTGGTCCTTGTCTGTGTCTCTGTTCCTAGTCCGTGTCCCTGTGTCACTTCCTGTGTCTCTTCCTGTCCCCATCAATGGCACTGCGGCTGCCTTTCCCCCTGCCGCTGTGTCCGGCCCGGCAGCACACATACACCTTTGCTTCGCTGCTTCTGTAATCACGCCGCTGCTGTCACAATCACTGCTGTTCATCTGGCGCTTTTGTGTCTTTTCAGCAGCGTTTGCTGCTAATTTTCATTGCTGTTCCACTCTTGCTGCCGGCTGTTACTGCAGCAATAACCAGTCCTGCTGCCATTGTTGCGGGAAATTACTCATGCTGCTGAATCTGTTGCTTCTGCTGCTTTAAAATCTGCTGCTGTTTGTACCTGCCTGCTCCTGCAGGGAGTGTCAAACTATACATTCTTTTGCCCCTTGTTTGTTCTCATACATAGTCATCCCACCTTTTGCCACTTGTGCCCTGTGCTGCGTGGTGCTGTGCTGTGCTTTTGCATTGTGCTGTGGTGGTTCTGTGCTCTGCTGTGCTGTGCTGTGCTGTGCTGTGCTGTGCGGTGCTGTGCTGTGCTGTGCGGTGCTGTGCTGTGCTGTGCTGTGCTGTGCTGTACTGTGCTGTGCGGTACGGTGCTGTGCTGTACGGTGCTGTGTTGTGCTGTGCTGTGCTGTGCTGTGCTGTGCTGTTCTGTGCTGTGCTGTGCTGTGCTGTGCTGTGCTGCGCTGCGCTGCGCTGTGCTGTGCTGTGCTGCGCTGTGCTGTGCTGTGCTGTGCTGTGCTGTGCTGTGCTGTGCTGTGCTGTGCTGTGCTGTGCTGTGCTGTGCTGTGCTGTGCTGTGCTGTGCTGTGCGGTGCTGCCATGCCATGCACCACCAGTCTGCTGAACGACAACAAGCTCAACTCGTTTCCGACAATCCAAGCGCCTAAGATTGTCGCCATGTCAGTCACACATGCTCCTGCCCAGTCATTCACTCACTCACTCACTACTCACTCACTCACTCAGCTTCACTTAGTCTCTCGGTCAACGCCCTTTCTTCAACTTACCACTTGCTTTACCACACTCAAGTCCCCTGCTGTTTCACTTATCCACCTTCCCATTCTCTACTACTGCTGCTTGTGTGCCGTTAACTCCCCTCTCCTCTCTCCAAAGCTCCTCTTTTCTCTCCAACCCCCCGGCTCTCTCTCTCTCTCTCTCTCTCTCTCTCTCTCTCTCTCTCTCTCTCTCTAAGCCCCCCTGCTCATATATCACCCCTTCTCTTTCCCACTCGTCCTTCGTATCAACAAGCGAAGTTAAGGGTCCCAGAAAGCAAGGTCATATGTAGCGACTGCCCTAGCCTGTTGCTCCTCCCACCCAATGCAACCCCACAGTGTGCGGATCACTGGCCAACAACCCCATCAACTTCTGAGGCGCCTCAAAAGTCCACTCCTCCCACCCAATGCCACCCCGCATTGTGCAGATCCCTGGGCAACAACCCCATACACAGCGGCTTTCCTGCACCCTGAGGTTGTTTCTTCAATAGGCGCCTCAAAAACTACCTCATTGCACGCCCAACGACTCCCCGCTTCATGCAGATCCCTGGCCAACAACCCAATACACGGCGGCTTTCCTTCCTCCTACGACAGCCTTCCCAACCTCCAGAACCTGTGCGTTGCCTTCCTTATCTGCCATCCCATCCCTTGCCTTGCTTTGCCTTGGCCCTTGTAAGAGGTGCCTCAGGAGCTGCCAGCCTGTCTGTCCTCGCTTGAGCACCTGTGGGTGGGCCGTCTATCTGGTTTTGAGTCGTCTCAAAAGCAGGAGTTGCCAGCCTGTCTGTCCTCGCTTGAGCACCTGTGGGTGGGCTGTCTGTTGTTGTCCTTGGCTTGTCCGTCGTCCCCTGTTCTTTCGGTGCGCGTTTCTGTCTGGCGAACCGGCTTGCCATGTTTAATCTCCTTGTGTGTGTAGTATGGGGATATGCATGGAAGCTACTTACGACATCGTCGTGTAGTGTAGTGTATATTTTAGTGTAGTGTACTGTGGGGGTGTAGTAGCGACAGAAAAGAGACAAGGCACGCACGCACGCACGCACGCACGCACGCACGCGCGCACGCGCGCACGCACGCACGCACGCACGCACGCACGCACGCACGCACGCAAGTGTGCTCGTTTGCTGGTCTGGTCCATAATGCAATTACTGCTGTCTGTGACCTCTCTCTGTGTTGCACCGCCTCTCGAATCAATTGGGCCTTCAATCTAAACAACCATTTTCTTGTTGCTCCATCCCTGCACTACCTACCTGCCACTCTGCATGCATGGATGCATGACATGACATGACATGACATGACATGACATGACATGACATGACATGACATGACATGACATGACATGACATGACATGACATGACATGGCATGACATGACATGACATGACATGACATGATATGGCATGACATGACATGGCATGACAGCAACATCAGTGGAACCGTGATGTCAGCCTCCGAGATCCCAATTTTAACTACTTTCGCGTCACTCAGAGTGCTGTACGTGTTCCCTTCATGCGCCCCCCTCTCCTCCTCGCGCCCCCCCTCTCGTCCTCGCCCCCCTTCTCCTCCTGTTCCCCCCCTCCCCCCCTTTATTGTGCCCGCCTCCTCGTTGAAACATCGGGTGTGATTGATCATTGAAAACGTGGTTGATTCGCTTCAAAGATCCCATTTTCTAGGTTCCATTGTTAGTGGGCTAAAAAAACACAGGATGTGGTAGGAGACTGCTGTTGCTGACCCACATCCAGACCCAAATCCTGCTGATATATATATATATATATTTTTTTTTTCACCGTACGCACAATTCTGCCTTGGCAGTTGTAGCAAGTCATTACCAAGCATGGCACCAAAACCTCGTTCGTTCGTTCGTTGCATTCCACCTCCCTCTTGCTTGCGCTTTCTCTGCCAGGGACATGTCAGAAAACGGGCTGAGCGATGTCTTCCCATTATTACCTCCAAAACTGGTGTACCTGTAAGGCCTCCCTGCCTGCCCTCCCCTCCTCCTGTAAGCTGATGAGGTGGGGCCTTGATCATTATCTCTGAGAGGACTTTTGAGTCGACTCAACAGTCACCTTGTAAGCTGGTGAGGTAGGGCCTTGATCATCTCTGGGAGAGGTAAAAAAAAAAAAAAAAACATGGGGACTTGCTTGTGTGAATCAGCGATCTTGGTGACTGCTCTGTCTTGGCGCATTTCGATTCGACTGCCCGCATGGGTCGGGGGGGGCATGGCACTTGTGACCCAACCAATCCAGCCAACAAGCCTGGTTGAATTGACCCGACCGGGCCGTTTGCTCATGTCTAGAAAGAATACATACGTGAATACATTTCTCCCCTTGTCTCCTGCACTTACTCTTCCAGTGATGCTTCGGGAAATAATCTGGTGGGAAACATTCCCGATTTACCTCAAACACTGCAACACCTGTAAGGCCCGCGTTTCTTCTGCCTTCTCCCTTCCACCTTTCTGTCACCCTCTTTCCCTCGTACTATTTACCTTCTAACCCTTGTCCTCTCTCTCCTCCTCTCTACCCCCTGTTCCCCGTTTGTTCCTGCTCCTTCCCGCGGCCCCACCTCTCACATCATTCCCGCACACCTCGCTCACATCGTTCCCACACCAGGCTTTTGATAAGAGCCTGCTCACAACCTTGCCTGCCCTCCCTATCCTCGTCTCGACCCTTCTTTTCGTCTCTGCAACAACTTGTCTCATCGCTCTCTCCCACTCTCGGGCCCCACTGCTTTCCCTTTCTCTCCCACTCTCTCACCCCGCTTCTTTCCCCCTATCTCTCTCCCACTCTTGCCCCACTGCTCTCCCACTCTCTTGCCCCACTGCTCTCCCACTCTCTTGCCCCACTTCCTTCCCTCTCTCTCCCGCTCTAATACCGTGGTTGCAGGGACATTGGCGGGAATGTGCTGTTGAATACCTTACCGCCCTCCATCACCACCCTCCGGGGATTCACCTTCCTGTGAGCTCCATACGCATGCGAGAGCTCCATACGCATGCGAGAGCTCCATACGCATGTGTGTGAGGGGATGATGGGAGGACGGAAGGGCCGAGAGGGGGTTTGGTGGGGGGTGAAGAAGATTTTTTTTTTTTCACAAGAGCAACATGCTGCAACTGGTGGAGTCCTGCGTTTTTTTTTTTTTTTTTTTTTTTTTTTTGTTTTTTTTGTCCCTTGTTTACTCTTCTGTCACTTTACTTCTCACTTTAACCCTGTCCTGTGCAATCTTATGTGTGCGAATGCATCTCATCCTGTTTCCATCCCATCCCATCCCATCCCATCCCATCCCGTCCCGTCCCGTCCCGTCCCGTCCCGTCCCGTCCCGTCCCGTCCCGTCCCGTCCCGTCCCGTCCCGTCCCGTCCCGTCCCGTCCCGTCCCGTCCCGTCCCGTCCCGTCCCGTCCCGTCCCGTCCCGTCCCGTCCCGTCCCGTCCCGTCGCGTCGCGTCGCGTCCCATCCCATCCCATCCCATCCCATCCCATCTCATCCCATCCCATCCCATCCCATCCCATCCCATCCCATCCCATCCCATCCCATCCCATCCCATCCTGTTTCTGTAAAAGTCCCATTCCATTCCCATCTCATTCCATCCCACCGCATCCCATTGCTGTGCACGCCCCCTCGCAGGGCATTGGACAACTGCTCTTTCAGTAACAATGACTTGCTACTCCTCTCCACCATCACCCCACTCCGCCACCTGTAAGAGCAATCGACCACCTGTGAGAGCAATCGACCACCTGTGAGAGCAATCGACCACCTGTGAGAGCAATCGACAACCTGTGAGAGCAATCGACCACCTGTGAGAGCAATCGGCCACCTGTGAGAGCAATCGACCACCTGTGAGAGCAATCGGCCACCTGCATGGGACCAGTGTGGTTCATATGCTCCTGATGAATATCTTTTTCATATGTTCGTTTGCATGTTTTTTCGAATCGCAAACACATTACACTTGTTCCCTTGTACCCCGTTCCACCCCTTTGCATCCCTTCGTTTTTCCGGCAGGTCATTGAGTGGCAACCCCATCACATTGATACCCACTCAGCTCAGCGTGCTCACTGCCCTCACCGCACTGTACACACCCCTCTCCCCTCATTCTCCCTGCTCTCGCTCCATTCTTCTCACTTCCCTCGCCCCCACTTTTCTCAACACCTGCACATCACTGCTCCTGGCTTGCCAATACTGCTGCTGCTGCTGCTGCTGCTGCTGCTGCTGCTGCTGCTGCTGCTGCTGCTGCTGCTGCTGCTGCTGCTGCTGCTGCTGCTGCTGCTGCTGCTGCTGTTGCTGCTGCTGCTGCTCCTCAAAAGCTGTGCAGGAGCATGCTCGTTTGCCATTCCAATCGCCCTCCCTCCCTCCCTCCCTCCCTCCCTCCCACCCATCTGCCCATCTGCTCTTGGGTCAGGCATGCATGCAACACTAAAATGACTGGTGGCTTTCCTATTCGCCCCATTTCTTCTTTTTCTAGACTTGTGAAACTGTGAGTTCTCCTCACCATCCCCTCCCCCTCCCTCTCCCCCTCGCCGCTTCTCCTTCCACCCCACTCCCTGTGCCTACGTTCCATCTTCCTCCTGCATGGGAGTGCTTACATGGCCCATCTGATGGGAGTGCTTACATGGCCCATCTGATGGGAGTGCTTACATGGCCCATCTGATGGGAGTGCTTACATGGCCCATCTGATGGGAGTGCTTACATGGCCCATCTGATGGGAGTGCTTACATGGCCCATCTGATGGGAGTGCTTACATGGCCCATCTGATGGGAGTGCTTACATGGCCCATCTGATGGGAGTGCTTACATGGCCCATCTGATGGGAGTGCTTACATGGCCCATCTGATGGGAGTGCTTACATGGCCCATCTGATGGGAGTGCTTACATGGCCCATCTGATGGGAGTGCTGACATGTTGCAGTTTGATACGGATCTTGGGTGACAGGGAATTTGATGGATGGGGAAGGAAGTTATTTTGTTTTCCTGGGTTGAAGGGGCCACTTTGAGACGAGAGTGATGCATCTGCCTCAAGGGACTCCTCCTTTTAGGCGATACACTGTGCCTTGCTGACTGACGACGTTCTTCATCTTCTCACTCGGCACCCTTCCTCAAGTGCCCCACTCCTCCCCCTCTTTCACTCCCTCTCCTCTCTGTCCTTCTCATTTCCCTTCCTCTCTCCCCTCTCTCTCTCCCTCCCTCCTCTCTCTCCTCGCCGCCCTGGTCCATTCCTCCCCTTCAGGAGTCTTTGTAGCAACAGTCTGGGCCCCAGTCTTCCCGACCAGCTGTCGAAATTGTTTGCACTGACCAGCCTGTGAGTTGGGCTGACTACAGACCTGCTCCCATGAGTGGTGTCCGAATCTGCAGACTCCATCCACGGCCCTCATGCATGCCTCATGCCACGCGTGCCCAGCACTTCCCCCTCCCTTCCGTTCCGAGAGCTCCCCAAGGAGCTCCTTTAGCGCCTGTCGAGAATGCTGATCAGTTCTGTTGGGCTGTCTCACAAGCGAGGCCGGTTCTTGAACCAGTCCCGCCGCTGCCCTCTGCTTGTGTGCTCTCGCTCTCACCTCACCTCATCTCATCTCATCTCATACAACATGCTGCCTCTGCACTCTGCCTTACAGGAACCTGGCCAACAACAACTTTAAAGGGAGTCTTCCCGCTTCCTTACTCTTCATGTCTTCCCTTCAAGAACTGTACGTGCCGTGCGTCTCTGCATGCCAGCCTAGCCTATGGTTCATCAATACGGCATACCCCATCACCATACCTCTCGAATCACCATACCTCCCATCACCATACGTCTCTAATCACCATACCTCCCATCACTGTACCTCCCATCACTGTACCTCCCATCACCATACCGCCCATCACCATACCGCCCAGCACCATACCTCCCATCACCATACCGCCCATCACCATACCTCCCAGCACCATACCTCCCATCACCATACGGCGCTATAAGCACCAGACCTCCCAGCACCATACCGCCCAGCACCAGACCGCCCATCACCATACCGCCCAGCACCATACCTCCCATCACCATACCGCCCATCACCATACCTCCCATCACCAGACCTCCCATCAGCATACGGCGCGAACCAGACCGCCCAGACCAGACCGCCCAGCACCAGACCTCCCATCACCAGATACCGCCCATCACCAGACCGCCCAGCACCAGACCGCCCAGCACCATACCCCCAGCACCAGACCGCCCAGCACCAGACCGCCCAGCACCAGACCCCCATCACCAGACCGCCCAGCACCAGACCGCCCAGCACCATACCGCCCATCACCAGACCGCCCAGCACCATACCGCCCATCACCATACCGCCCAGCACCAGACCGCCCAGCACCATACCGCCCATCACCATACCGCCCAGCACCAGACCGCCCATCACCAGACCGCCCAGCACCAGACCGCCCATCACCAGACCGCCCAGCACCAGACCGCCATCACCAGACCGCCAGCACCATACCGCCCAGCACCATACCTCCCATCACCATACCGCCCATCACCAGACCGCCATCACCAGACGTCGCGAATCACCATACCGCCCATCACCATACCGCCCATCACCAGACCTCCCATCACCAGACCGCCATCACCATACCGCCATCACCATACCTCCCAGCACCATACCTCCCATCACCAGACCGCCCGCACCATACGTCGCTAATCACCAACCGCCCAGCACCAGACCGCCCAGCACCAGACCGCCATCACCAGACCGCCCAGCCCACCAGCCCCCAGCACCATACCGCCCAGCACCAGACCGCCCATCACCATACCGCCCAGCACCATACCGCCCAGCACCATACCGCCCAGCACCAGACCGCCCATCACCAGACCGCCCAGCACCAGACCGCCATCACCAGACCGCCCAGCACCATACCGCCCAGCACCAGACCGCCCAGCACCAGACCTCCCATCACCATACCGCCCAGCACCAGACCGCCCATCACCAGACCGCCCAGCACCATACCTCCCATCACCATACCGCCCAGCACCATACCTCCCATCACCATACCGCCCAGCACCATACCGCCTAGCATCCCATACGGCGTCGAATCACCAGACCGCCCATCACCAGACCGCCCATCACCAGACCGCCCAGCACCAGACCCCAGCACCAGACCGCCCATCACCATACCGCCCATCACCAGACCGCCCATCACCATACCGCCCATCACCATACCGCCCAGCACCATACGGCTCTAAGCACCAGACCGCCCCAGCACCAGACCGCCCATCACCATACCGCCCAGCACCAGACCGCCCAGCACCAGACCGCCCAGCACCAGACCGCCCAGCACCAGACCGCCCAGCACCAGACCGCCCAGCACCAGACCGCCCAGCACCATACCGCCCATCACCATCCGCCCAGCACCAGACCGCCCAGCACCAGACCGCCCAGCACCAGACCGCCCATCACCATACGCGCGAAGCACCAGACCGCCCAGCACCAGACCGCCCATCACCAGACCGCCCAGCACCATACCGCCCAGCACCAGACCGCCCAGCACCAGACCGCCCAGCACCAGACCGCCCAGCACCAGACCGCCCAGCACCAGACCGCCCAGCACCATACCCCCAGCACCAGACCGCCCAGCACCAGACCGCCCATCACCATACCGCCCAGCACCAACCGCCAGCACCCAGACCGCCCATCACCAGACCGCCCAGCACCATACCGCCCAGCACCAGACCGCCCAGCACCCATACCGCCATCACCATACCTCCCATCACCATACCGCCCATCACCAGACCGCCCAGCACCAGACCGCCCATCACCATACGGCGCTAAGCACCAGACCGCCCATCACCAGACCGCCCATCACCAGACCGCCCAGCACCAGACCTCCCAGCACCAGACCGCCCAGCACCATACCGCCCATCACCAGACGGCGCGAAGCACCAGACCGCCCAGCACCAGACCGCCCAGCACCAGACCGCCAGCACCAGACCGCCCAGCACCAGACCGCCCATCACCAGACCGCCCATCACCAGACCGCCCAGCACCAGACCGCCCAGCACCAGACCGCCCATCACCAGACCGCCCAGCACCATACCGCCCAGCACCATACCGCCCATCACCAGACCGCCCAGCACCAGACCGCCCATCACCAGACCTCCCATCACCAGACCGCCCAGCACCATACCGCCCAGCACCAGACCGCCCAGCACCAGACCGCCCCTCACCATACCGCCCATCACCATACCGCCCAGCACCAGACCGCCCAGCACCAGACCGCCCAGCACCAGACCGCCATCACCAGACCGCCCAGCACCAACCGCCCATCACCATACCTCCCATCACCATACCGCCCAGCACCAGCCGCCCAGCACCAGACGCGCCCAGCACCAGACCTCCCAGCACCAGATCCCAGCACCACCGCCCAGCACCAGACCGCCCATCACCATACCGCCCCACCAGACGGCGCGAAGCACCAGACCGCCCAGCACCAGACCGCCCAGCACCATACCGCCCAGCACCAGACCGCCCAGCACCAGACCGCCCAGCACCAGACCGCCCAGCACCAGACCGCCCAGCACCATACCGCCCGCACCAGACCGCCCAGCACCAGACCGCCCAGCACCAGACCGCCCAGCACCAGACCGCCCAGCACCAGACCTCCCAGCACCAGACCGCCCAGCACCATACCGCCCAGCACCAGACCGCCCATCACCAGACCGCCATCACCAGACCGCCCAGCACCAGACCGCCCATCACCAGACCGCCATCACCAGACCGCCCAGCACCAGCGCCCATCACCAGACGGCGCGAAGCACCAGACCGCCCAGCACCAGACCGCCCAGCACCAGACACCCCCCAGCACCAGACCTCCCAGCACCAGACCGCCCATCACCAGACCGCCCATCACCATACCGCCCATCACCATACCTCCCAGCACCAGACGGCCCGCGAAGCACAGACCGCCCAGCACCAGACCGCCCAGCACCAGACCGCCCATCACCAGACCGCCCAGTCACCAGACCGCCCATCACCAGACCTCCCAGCACCAGACCGCCCAGCACCAGACCGCCCAGCACCAGACCTCCCATCACCATACCGCCCATCACCAGACCGCCCAGCACCATACCGCCCAGCACCACCGCCCAGCACCAGACCGCCCCATCACCAGAAGTCGCTAATCACCAGACCGCCCAGCACCATACCCCCAGCACCAGACCGCCCAGCACCAGACCGCCCAGCACCAGACCGCCCAGCACCAGACCCCAGCACCATACCTCCCATCACCAGACCTCCCATCACCATACCGCCCAGCACCATACCGCCCAGCACCAGACCGTCCCATCACCAGACCTCCCATCACCAGACCCCCAGCACCAGACCGCCAGCACCATACCGCCAGCACCATACCTCCCAGCACCAGACCGCCAGTCACCAACCTCCCATCACCATACCTCCCATCACCAGACCTCCCATCACCATACCTCCCATCACCATACCTCCCATCACCATACGTCTCTAATCACCAGACCTCCCATCACCAGACCGCCCATCACCAGACCTCCCATCACCATACCTCCCATCACCATACCTCCCATCACCATACCTCCCATCACCATACGTCTCTAATCACCATACCTCCCATCACCATACCGCCCATCACCATACCGCCCATCACCATACCGCCCATCACCATACCTCCCATCACCATACCCCATCACCATACCTCCCATCACCATACCTCCCATCACCATACCTCCCATCACCATACCTCCCATCACCATACCTCCCATCACCATACCTCCCATCACCATACCTCCCATCACCATACCTCCCATCACCATACCTCCCATCACCATACCTCCCATCACCATACCTCCCATCACCATACCTCCCATCACCATACCTCCCATCACCATACCTCCCATCACCATACCTCCCATCACCATACCTCCCATCACCATACCTCCCATCACCATACCTCCCATCACCATACCTCCCATCACCATACCTCCCATCACCATACCTCCCATCACCATACCTCCCATCACCATACGTCTCTAATCACCATACCTCCCATCACCATACCTCCCATCACCATACCTCCCATCACCATACCTCCCATCACCATACCGCCCATCACCATACGTCTCTAATCACCATACCTCCCATCCCATACCTCCCATCACCATACCTCCCATCACCATACCTCCCATCACCATACCTCCCATCACCATACCTCCCATCACCATACCTCCCATCACCATACCTCCCATCACCATACCTCCCATCACCATACCTCCCATCACCATACCTCCCATCACCATACCTCCCATCACCATACCTCCCATCACCATACCTCCCATCACCATACCTCCCATCACCATACCTCCCATCACCATACCTCCCATCACCATACCTCCCATCACCATACCTCCCATCACCATACCTCCCATCACCATACCTCCCATCACCATACCTCCCATCACCATACCTCCCATCACCATACCTCCCATCACCATACGTCTCTAATCACCATACCTCCCATCACCATACCTCCCATCACCATACCTCCCATCACCATACCTCCCATCACCATACCTCCCATCACCATACCTCCCATCACCATACCTCCCATCACCATACCTCCCATCACCATACCTCCCATCACCATACCTCCCATCACCATACCTCCCATCACCATACCTCCCATCGCAATGCCTTTCACCGCAATTCCTCTCATCGGCGTGCATTCCCCCCATCCTACCACTGACACGACTGTTGGCCGCCTGGAAAGATGGCGTTTCGCAACGCAGTGCTGCTCTAGTGCTGCATTTCCTGGGAGTCATTGTCGGGACTTCCAAGAAATGTACCACTTGCTCTTCCGCCCCCTGCCTCTTACATCCCGCCAGCAACCTGAATGACAATGGCTATGTCGGTATCACCTCACAAGCCATTCCACCCAATGTTGGCCAGCTCAAGGCTCTGTGAGTGACCTGCATAGACTTTCTTTTCTCCATCCATGTCTCTTCCTTTTGTTTGTTTGCTTTTTTTTTTTTTTTTTTTTTTTTTTTTTGTGTTGTCCATGTTTGTTTCCGTTCACGTGCATGCATCACATCACATCACATTCACGGTGGATATTTCTTTTGAGAATTCTCAAAAGACACATCACATTCACGGTGCTTACCCATCCTGTCATGCTCTGAAACCACACCGTTGCCGCCTCTTCTTCACGGCACGCAGCAACTTGGGCAACAACAAACTCACAGGGGTTCCGTCCATCCTTTCCGCCTTTGCTGCCTCCTTGCAATATTTGTAAGTTTCCCGCGGATGACTTTTGAGGCGCCTCAAGAGTCGCCTTTGCCTCCTCGTTGCAAATTTTGTAAGTGTCCTGTGGATGCGTAAATGCATGCACATGCACGGATGCGCACACACATGCACAAGTGTGCGTCTGTGCTCACGCAACTCCTACACATGTGCAAACGCCTGCAATGATCTGCTCACCTTCTCTTGCACACGTGTGTACGCATGGATGTGTGAGTATGTGAGAGACCACATGCTTGCTGTTTCTTGCATGCCGTTTCCATGTGTCCGCATGCAATCCACGTGGCAAATGCGTGCTGCTGGCACAACTCTCTGCATGCGTGTGTGCGTGCGTGCATGTTGTGGCAGGGATGTGAGTGGCAACAGCATCACCGCATACCCTGATTTCGTCACCTCACTCACAGTCTTGCGCCACTTGTAAGTGGAAACGCGCCCCCCTGTACCACTCGTCCAGTCGAGCAATAGTGGAGAGATTTCTCAAACGAAGTGTTGCGGCATTGTCAGGCAATCAAGCTTGTTGCATGGTATTGCATATTTTCTGCCAGTCCGCATTGAGTCATGGTCAGGCCACATTTCCAAGTTCCAGCCAGGTAAAACCATGTTTTCCCATATCAGCTGCCACCACGTTCGCCCATATCACTAGCACCACTTTGTTATGAACCAAATTACCACCACCATGGCTGCCCGAGTTAGCTATCACCATATTCGTCCCAACCAGTCCATGCAGTGCTGTGTTCTCTGCCTGCTGTGGCTGCTTTTGCCCGCACACATACTCAAGTCCCATGATGCCCGTGCTCCAGCAATCCATTTGCACCATATCTTTCCAAGCAATGCTGCTTCTCAAGCGAGCACCACATTCCATTCCACAACACTGCCACCACCACCTACCCACACTCCCACCCTTCCTTTCGAACTGTCACTTTGCTTCCTCCCATCACAGGGACCTGAGTCGCAATGGCCTCTCAGGCGTCTTCCCTATGACCTACGCTGCCCTCACATCGCTCCAGCACCTGTCAGTCTTCCTCCTCCTCCTCCTCCTCCTCCTCCTCCTCCTCCTCCTCCTCCTCCTCCTCCTCCTCGTCCCCTCCTCCTCCTCCTCCTCCTCCTCCTCCTCCTCCTCCTCCTCCTCCTCCTCCTCCTCCTCCTCCTCCTCCTCCTCCTCCTCCTCCTCCTCCTCCTCTTTCTCCATGCCATGCCATGCGTCATTCTCTGCTGCGCCATGCTCTCAACCGCTGCACTTCTGTTGTGCCTCACCCTTTGTTTTCAGAGGACCTTGTTCCTTTCCAAGCCGGGGTAGTTAGCTCGCTGGCTGAATAGCTGGCTAGTGTACTGGCTGCTTGTCTGGCTGGTTGATTGATTGGTTCGTTCTTCATTGATGCAATGCAACAGAGCAAAGGTGGTTAGCCTACTCCTTGTTAGCGAGTTCAGCAGTTTTCTGCATGCAGGGTCGTTGTGGTGAGTGAGAGTGCAGCACGATTTTGCAACTCTGCGAACAATCTCTCGAAACTCTGTTGTGTTGTGCTGCTGTGCTGTCTGGCAGAGATGTCTCTCGCAACGGCTTCACGGGAATTCTACCGGTGCTCACCACTCTCACCCTCTTGACAACCATGTGAGCCATGCTCCCCCTTCTATTCGCTCATCCCCACTCTCTACCCTCTTCATGCACTGCCTGCCTACCTGCCATACCTGCTTCTAGTCCTGAAACCCTCGGCCTCTTTGCTCTCTCCCTCCCTCCCTCATTCTTGCTCTTTGCACTACTGTTCTACCAAGCATGGCTGAGTGCCGACCTGGGGCTGCTTTTTCCGTACTTGAAGGGTTGAGTGAAGCAGGGTCGAGTGAAGCAAGGGTCGAGTGAAGCAAGGGTCGAGTGAAGCAAGCCTCGAGTCAAGCAAGCGTCAAGTCAAGCAAGTGTCAAGTCAAGCAAGCGCCAAGTCAAGTTATTCAATTGAACTATTGCTGCCTTCTAACAATTCCACTGAGCAGCAGCGCTGCCTGTTACATGGCCTTCCCTTGCCTTTGCGTGCGTGCCTGCACTGCAGCAATCTGGGTTACAACCAGTTCTATGGGCCAGTGTTGACGACTTTTGGCAGCATCAGCAACCTGCAGGAGCTGTACGTATGGTGCTGTGTTGATGTGGCGTGACGTGACGTGACGTGACGTGACGTGACGTGACGTGATGGCTCTCACGCCCCACGCCCTCTGCTTCTGATGGTGCTTGCTTGCTTGCTTCATGCGCTGCCACATGCTTGCTTGCTTGCTTGGCTCTGATCACATGCCCGAAACGCTCTTGCCCCCGGTCTTTAATCGCTCGCTGTATTCGGGACTCCCTGTATCATAACAGGGTGCTCTGTTTTAAAAGGTTTCCTTCTATCTCTGCTGCTGCAGCTGCCGCACTTGTGCCTTTGAATCTGCTCGAGAGGTTGCTTGTTGTGGCACCTGTATTGGTTTCACTCATGTTAACTCTCAAAAGTAGCTCCCATATAACCAGTACCACCTGCTCTCACACCTTATATGTTTCTCTGTTCCCCTGCTCTCCTCTCGCCCTTGCCTCTCGCTCTTTTCGCCAGGAATCTGCAGAACAATCTGTTGGAGGGGCAGCTGACGATGGGCTTCACAGACTTCACAGTCCTCAAATCACTGTAAGAGGGCCTAGTTTTCAGTCGACTCAAAACTGGGCCTAGTTTTGAGTCAACTCAAAATCTGCAGAGCAATCTGTTGGAGGGGCAGCTGACGATGGGCCTCACTGACTTCACAGTCCTCAAGTCGCTGTAAGAGGGCCTTCGCTGCCGCATACGTGCTTTGCATGTTCTGCGTTTGTGGTGGTGTGTGTTCGTGTGCGTGCGCGAGCACGAGCGCGTGTGCGTGTCTGGCCAACCCCAAATCTCCTCTCCTCCGCTCCTCAGCACCGCTCCGTCCCTAATCCCTCTCTCCCCGCGGCAGTTCTCTCTCTGGCAACCGTATTCAAGCGTCTCTACCACCTGAATTCGGCTCCTTCACTGGCCTGGAGCACCTGTGCGTAAACCTCACCGCACCGTCTAAACCAAACCTTAGCGTAGCCTCACCGTCCAAACTGAACCTCACCACTGTCCACTCCAATCACGGTCAACTAAGTAATGTAACCCACCACGTGACTACAGCCTGTTCACGGGCCTGGAGCACCTGTGTTGTGCTTGTGTGTGAACGCTGAACCTCATCCTCATCGTCTCTGAGCTAACACTCCTGAGCTAATCCTTTGCTTCCACTCCTCCTGGATTACCGTGATGTTGTGCTTGTTTGCGTGGACTACCCTGTCTGTCTGTCTGTCTGTCTGTCTGTCTGTCTGTCTGTCTGTCTGTCTGTCTGTCTGTCTGTCTGTCTGTCTCTATATATGCGTCATCATTTGCGCCTGTGTTGTAAAATGGTCCCGTACCGAATGCTCTCGCGCTTGTCTGTTTGTCTGTGCCTGTGCCTGTGCCTGTGCCTGTGCATGTGCCTGTGCCTGTGCCTGTGCATGTGCATGTGCCATGGCAGGGATATGAGTAGCAACTTGTTCATTGGAGGCCTTCCCGAGACATGGAGTCAGCTCAGCGGCCTCAAAACCTTGTGAGTCCACTGCTCCCACCTCATTTGCCTTTCAACTGAAGGAAATTGGAATAAACACATGTTGCCAATCGCTTGAGCTCGAACTATTCTCTTTTGTACTACATTCAGTACGCTTGATTTTCGTACTACTCTCCTCCTCCTCCTCCTCCTCCTCCTCCTCCTCCTCCTCCTCCTCCTCCTCCTCCTCCTCCTCCTCCTCCTCCTCCTCCTCCTCCTCCTCCTCCTCCTCCTCCTCCTCCTCCTCCTCCTCCTCCTCCTCCTCCTCCTCTTCCTTCTCATGTTAGAGAGTGGTGTGACATGGTCTGCGGTTGGGTGGGGTAAGGAAGGGTGTGTTGGGTTGGGTTGGCTGCATTCGATTTTCAGACTTGAACAATGGATTTCGCCCTTTGCAGAAGCATTCTCAGAGCGTCCTTTTGCGCTTTGTCTTTTCACCTGGGCCGCCCGGCCCGTCTGTAGCATATGCGCAGCGCATGTATTTCGCATGTACGTGAGTAGTGTGATTGTACGTCGTAAAATTAAACACCGAACCGATTTTTCTTCAACCCCTCGATCTCTTTCATCCCAGAATCCAACAACCCAACCCATTGCTGCCTCGCTTCCATGCCTACTCCATTCGTGCTATACCTTGCCTCCATGCCTTGCATCGCCACAGGAACCTCTCTCGCAATAATCTGGAAGGCAGCATCCCGCTGTTGTGGACTTTCCTCACCAGCCTCACTGCTCTGTAAGCACAGCATGTGCCTTGTGCATGCATGGGTAGCAGCAGCAGTGGCGACAGGCAGTGTCAGTGGTGGCAGTGGGAAGAGAGAGGAAGAGGGAGGAAGAGGGAGGAGGAGGCAGGAAGAGGGAGTTGATGCACTGCACAGTCTACTGCTGTTCAGCCACTCCCTCCTGTGCTCCATCTCTTCTCCCTCCACCTCTTCTCCCTCCACCTCTTCTCCCTCCATCTCTTCTCCCTCTACCTCTTCTCCCTCCACCTCTTCTCCCTCCACCTCTTCTCCCTCCACCTCTTCTCCCTCCACCTCTTCTCCCTCCACCTCTTCTCCCTCCATCTCTTCTCCCTCCACCTCTTCTCCCTCCACCTCTTCTCCCTCCACCTCTTCTCCCTCCACCTCTTCTCCATTCACACTTCCATCTCTCCCCCCCCTCCTCTTCCCACCTCTCCATTCCGCCCGTCCCCCAAACTTTCCGTTCCGCTCTCCTGCCTGCTTGGCCCCTCCTGCATGATATCTCCACCTGTGTCCATGTGGGGTGGGCGGCACAGTGATCTATCCTACAACAGGCTCGAAGGAGTTCTTCAGCTGTTTAGCGTGGAGGGCATGAGCGATCTTGCACACATGTGAGCAGCAGAAGCAGCAGCATTTGGTGATTTGTATGTGAGCAGCAGCAGCAGCTGGTGATTTGCACCCCATCCCATCCCACCCCACCCCACCCCATCCCATCCCATCCCATCCCATCCCCTCCCCTCCCCTCCCCTCCCCTCCCCTCCCCTCCCCTCCCCTCCCCTCCCCTCCCCTCCCCTCCCCTCCCCTCCCCTCCCCTCCCCTCCCCTCCCCTCCCCTCCCCTCCCCTCCCCTCCCCTCCCCTCCCCTCCCCTCCCATCCCATCCCATCCCATCCCATCCCATCCCATCCCATCCCATCCCATCCCATCCCATCCCATCCCATCCCATCCCATCCCATCCCATCCCATCCCATCCCATCCCATCCCATCCCATCCCATCCCAACCCACCCCACCCCATCCCATCCCGTCCCTCCCAACCACCCCTCACCCATCAGTCGCCTCAACGACAATGCATTTCTGGGTTCTCTGCCAAGACACTTCACACAGACCACAAGCATCAGATCGCTGTCAGCACCACCACCCTCCCTCCCTCCTTCCCTCCCTCCCTCCCTCCCCCTCCCTCCCTCCTCCCTCCCTCCCTCCCTCCCTCCCTCCCTCCCTCCCTCCCTCCCTCCCTCCCTCCCTCCCTCCCTCCCGCATGTGCTTGTCCGCAGTTCAGTTACTGGTTCCATGCGATCATCCATGTGTTCCTCTTTCTGCTCAGCTGCTGCTAGTCAGCAAAAGTTCTTCAATAATCTTCTATAAACCCTCCCCTCCCCTCCTCCCCTCCCCGTGAACCTCCCTGCCTTTATTCCCCCATCACCCTTCCTTTAACGTGTGTGTCTGTGTCAAGTCGAGCTATCTAGGCATCTACCAGTGAAGCAGCAGTGAGGGCAGTGCATTAACTGATGCCTCTTTCCTCTTTACGTGCCGCCGGTTTCTCTTCTCTGCTGCAGGTCCCTCAGCAACAACCTCTTTAGCGACACCTTCCCAGCCTTCCTGGGCAAATTTCCTCTCCTCACTTTTGCGTAAGCTGCCTCCTTACCTTATTTCCTCGTCTGCCCTCCTTTTCTTTCTCACTCGCCTTTGCCTCACATTCACCTTTCCCCGGCTTATCACTAGGGATCCCTGATGACCATCGCCCTCCTGCTTCATCTCCAATCCTCTTGTCTACTGCTGCTGTTGCCGCCGCCGCTGCTGCTCCTGCTCCTGCTGCTGCTGCTGCTGCTGCTGCTGCTGCTGCTGCTGCTGCTGCTGCTGCTGTCGTGCCTTGCCTATCCGCAGCAACGTCAGCCACAACCAGCTCACTGGAGGATTTGCAGAGGGACTCGGAAGCGCCACTTCTCTTCAAGTGCTGTAAGTCCCTGCCTTCAACGCAATGTCGGTAACTCCGCTGTCCGCTCTGCACCACCACCACTGGTCGCTCTGCACCACCACCACTGGTCGCTCTGCACCACCACCACCAACAGCTGGTTTTTGAGTTAAGAAGAGTTCCGCTCTTCAGAATTCTCAAAAACCACCAACAGCTCAAACGTTAAGCAAGGACAAATGCCGTTGTAAACCCAGAGCCGGGTGCTCCTTTGCACATGGTGCTGTTCTTTTTTTTTGGTTGGCATTTTTCTGTTGTGGTTACGGACCGTCGTGTGGGCATGGCACTGTTTGCCTGCCTTGCCTTGCGTTGCCTTGCCTGCCTTGCTTTGCCTTGCCTTGCGCCGTGCCTTGGGCTGGCCTTGTGACATGACAACCCTCTCCATGCTAGTGTTTTAAAGAAGCAAGGCCTGTGTGTTTGTTGTTTCTTGCTTCTGGTTTGACCATCTTCCGTGCCTGTGCAAATTCTGCTCTGCTCTGACTTATGCCATCCCATTCCATCCCATCCCATCCAATCCAAGCCCAATGTCATTCGTATCGTACCTTGGCTCCCATCCCTTCCTTCATTATGGAATCGCCTCCTGATCACTTCTCCCTCCTTCACTTGCCTCCTTCTTTCCCTCCTCGTTGCCTCCTCCTTTGCCTCCTCGTCATCTCCTCTTGCCCTCGTTACCTGCATGGTGCCATGCCTCGCCACGCCATACGCGTGCAACAGGGACCTGTCTTACAACCAGCTTACGTTCAACCTTGTGAACTTACCATCTTTCAATCTCATATACCTCAGATACCTGTGAGTGAGCCTACGCTACTTACTTGCACTACAACACAGAACCCTCTCCTCACGCGTTGTCATTGTCACCTGCCTGCACTGTTCTTGAGTCAGCTAAAAAATAAACCCTCTCCTCACGTGTTGTCACCTGCCTGCACTGTTCTTGAGTCAGCTAAAAAATAAACCCTCTCCTCACGTGTTGTCACCTGCCTGCACTGTTCTTGAGTCAGCTAAAAAATAAACCCTCTCCTCACGTGTTGTCACCTGCCTGCACTGTTCTTGAGTCAGCTAAAAAATAAACCCTCTCCTCACGTGTTGTCACCTGCCTGCACTGTTCTTGAGTCAGCTAAAAAATAAACCCTCTCCTCACGTGTTGTCACCTGCCTGCACTGCACAAACACACACACATGCCATTTATGATCCATGCATCCATGCATCCATGCATCCACTGCGCTGCGCTGCCTACCTCCCCCAATGCATTTCCACGCCATCTTCACCCACTCATGTCCTCTGGTCCCATCCAAACCCACCTTCAAGGTGGTGTCCCATGTGCTTCTACTTTTGACACGTCTCAAACCCACCGTCAAGGTGGTGTCCCATGTGCTTCTATTAAACCCATCATATCTCACACACTCCTCCCTTTCTCTCTTTCTCTCCCTCATGCATCTCCATCCCACCATCATCTCCCGTCCCTTCCGTCCAGGGACCTCTCGTACAACGACTTTGACTGTGAAATTCCCTGGCATATCACTCTGCTGACGCGCTTAGAGCACCTGTGAGCACACAAAAGATCTTTTGGCTGGCGCTTTTTTGCCTTTTAAACTGAAACCGCTTTCTCAGCGTGCAACTCATGAGCCTCTAGAGCATCTTTTTTATTCCTAGTGTCCTGCTCCCATGTCCACCCGTCCCGTGCCTCCCTTATTCCCTGTCTCTCTCTGTCCAACCCCTCTTGATGGCTCCCCGTTCCCCTGTTTGTGTTTCCTGCCATCCTGTGCTTTCTATTTTCTTGAACTTTCCAAAAGACCAACCCCAGTCAAAATCCTTGCTTCTCGCTCTTTCCCATGTGCTTGTAACAAAACAATCACATGCAAGCCATGGCTTCTCTTCGCATGGGCCCTCATGCCTTTCTTTCAGGTTGGTTTGCTGCTGAAGCTCCCCATGCAACTTGCCTTCACTGCTCGCCTTTTACGTTTTGCATCCCATCCCACCCCATCCCATCCCATCTCTCTCCCCCCTCCTCCCTGCTTGCAGTGACCTCAGAGGCAACACCATTGTGGTGCCCCTATCTCCCTCCATCTCAAACCTGCGCTCTCTCACCTTCCTGTCAGTATCGCTCCCCTCACGCTGCTGCTGCCAGCCACCTCCAGTGCTCATCTCACTCTGCTCATTGCTGCTCGCACAAATCGACCTTTTCCTGCTTCAAGTGTCTCGGTGGCTTTGTTTGTGAGGCCTAAGCTAAGCCAACTTTGCTTTTGAGTCGACTCAAAAGCACCTCCGCTGCTCATCATCTCACTCTGCTCATTGCTGCTCGCACAGATCGACCCCTTCCTGCTTCAAGTGTCTCGGTGGCTTTGTTTGTGAGGCCTAAGCTAAGCCAAATTTGCTTTTGAGTCGACTCAAAAGCACCTCCGCTGCTCATCTCACTCTGCTCATTGCTGCTCGCACAGATCGACCCCTTCCTCCTTCAAGTGTCTCGGTGGCTTTGTTTGTGAGGCATAAGCTAAGCCAACTTTATCATTCCATTCCATCCGTACCATACCATGTCTGTCACCCTGTACCATGTCACCCCGTAACACGAGTAAAAGGCGAATCTGAATACGCTCAATCCAACTGTTTCAAACACCTTTTTTCACTCTAACGGATCCTCTTTGGTTTAATTGAGGCAAACATTTATTGCAAAGATGGTGTTTGATGGTTTTGTGTTGGAGTTCAAACACTTTGAGTGCCCTAACGAACAATCTCGAGTTGAGTCGAACCGAATAAGGTTTCAAATTCTTGCTCAACCCTACCCTGTGCCCTGTGAACCCATATTATGTCATCCCGTACCATGCCACCTCCATTGTCACCCACTACCACTTTACCCCCTACGCCGGTGTCATCCCTTGAAATGCCCTGTCCTGTTTCTGCCATGCTCTGCCGTGCGTCCCTCTCTCAGAGGGCTGAGCAACAGCACACTTGAGGACATGCCTCTTCTCGTCTCCTTCACAGACCTCAAGCACTTGTCAGTCCATGCCATGCCTACGCCATGTCATGCCATACCCTGCCCTGCCATGCCATGCTGTACAATGTCGTATCATGCCTTGCCATACCACAGTAACATAAGACACTATACCATGCAATGCATGCCATGCGACGCCATGTTGTGCCATAATATGAACTGGATTCTCATGCAATGCCCCATCTTTCCCTGCCACGCCTCACCATACAATGACATCCCGTGCCATTCTGTGCCTCACAACAACCCATACAACGCCATGCCATTGCACGCCATGCTGCACCCTTGCGATTTATTCAGCATTCACCCTCTGTCTACCATGCTTATTCGTCGCCCGCCCCCTTCACCCCCCTCCCCCCCACACGCGCACACCCACACACAACACCCCTTTCCGTCCGTGCCATTCCCCCATCGCATCTCATCCCCTTGTTTCCCCTCCAGGTCGCTGGGTGGCTCGGGCATCACATCGCTGCCCAGCAAGCTCAGCCTACTCACTGGCCTCACCTCACTGTACACACTCCTCCCCTTCTTGACACCTGCCCCCATTTTTTCGCGCCACTCTGATTCTCCTCCCTCCCATCGGCCTACTTCTTCTCTCCTCCTTTCACGGCCCCTCTCTCATCCCCCCGCAGTCATACCTCCATTTCCGGATCTCCCTTTCCTTCATGACTCACGCCTTCCCTGGTTCTTGTCTCCCTGCCGTGCCCCTGCAGGAATGCTTCTGGCATGGGTCTCACCGGGCCCTTTCCGCCTTACATCGTCAACTTCCTTAGCCTCGCTTACCTGTCAGTGCTGTGCTGTACTTGGGAGGGAACTGTGGAGGAAAGAAGAGGAGGTTGGGAAAGGAGAAGGGAATCACTTGTTTAGCAACTGATGCTTAAAGCTGAAGTATACATTTGTCTTCCAGGCTTTGGGTTTAGGGAGTCGCCTCACGGTCTCACAGGCAAAGTTTCAATTTTCAAAAGATTTTGAACCTCTTCTATCAAATGTATACGAAAGCTTTAATGGATTCTCATGGCTGTTTTGGAGTGAGAGAAAAAAGGGAGAGAGGAAAAAAAAGGGTTGTATACGTTTGACAAGCTTCTCTAGCCAATGGTCAAGTTTATTGCATGCGGGCGGCGCTTTGCTGTTCCCCTGCGCTTTGCTGTTCCCCTGCGCTTTGCTGTTCCCCTGCGCTTTTCTGTTGCCCTGCGCTTTTCTGTTGCCCTGCGCTTTGCTGTCGGCCTGCCCCTTTGGTTGTGCCCTGATTGCCATGCGCTGCGGATTACTGTGAGCCATCTGCGCCCTACCATCCGTGATCCAGTGCACTGAAAATCTTCATATCCTGTTCACCTCCGTCTGCTTTCACCTTTCGCCTATTCTCCCTCTTTTTTTCCTCTCCGTCCCCCTCATCTTCCCCCTCCTCTCCCTCTTCCCACTGCCCTCAGCAACCTGTCGAACAACTACATAACTGGCAGCATACCGGATAAGCTGGCCTCTCTGCTCGATCTCACAGCACTGTCAGTTGTGCATGCATGCCTGTTGAGTCAGCAAGGAAGGAACAGATCTCTACAGGGAGGATAACAGTGCCAGAGGGATGCTATGCTAGAACATGAATGTCCGACTGCTAGTGCGAAACAAGTGTGTTTGATATGTGGTGTGTGCGCGCACGCACCTGTGTGTGCGTGCGTGCGTGCATGCGTGTGTGCGGGGGGGGCGGGTGGTGTGGTTGCGGGTGGTGTGACGAGGCGGGTGCATACCATACCAGTGACTTGCTACTGCATCCATCCGTTGGAGCTGCGTTCGTAAGCTCATCGTTACTCATCGTTGCTTCCCTTCACATAGCTTTCTCTCCCTAAGTCCGAAAGCAGCCCATCGTGCATCCCTCTTTCAATTCCACTGCTTCCTTGCTCCCGTTACCCATCTACTCTTCCAATAACCACCCCTCCCCTCCCTCCGGCCACGCCCATGGGCTGTGTGCAACGATCATCATCAGGAGCCTTGAGAACAACAGGCTTCAGGGAGACATTCCCGGGAAGCTCCTTACGCTGCCTCTGCTAAAGACAATGTATGCTACGCTACTCTCCTCTGCTCTCCTGTGCTCTGCTCTGCTCTCCTGTGCTCTGCTCTGCTCTCCTGTGCTCTGCTCTGCTCTCCTGTGCTCTGCTCTGCTCTCCTGTGCTCTGCTCTGCTCGGCTTCGCCTAGTTTTACCACTCCTGCCTCACTCCTGCATCACTCCTGCATCACTCCTCCCCCACGCACATACAGCATCCTCCGTGGCAATGCTCTTACGGGCATCACCTCTCCCGGGGCCATCTCTGCACTATCTCTCGAATTCCTGTCAGTGCCTTCCAGCCTCCACATCATTCAAGGATCAGATCGGATCATATCATACTAGCCATCCCATTCTATCTTCTCCATAAACTTCCTTCTGTGCACATTCCTTCTTCTTCTATCCTCTCAGGGCGCGGCTGCTGTAACCTCCTGCTCCTCTGCATTTCTCCTTTTCTCCTCCCCACCGCATCCCCCTTTCCCCCGAGCTTCCCTGCCCTCGCGCCTCTCCCCGCTCCTATTGCTGCTCCCTTGCGCCATGACCGCTTTTACCAAACATAAAAGTGTGTGTGCATGCATGCATGGTCGTCGCTTGGTGTGTTCTCTCACTCCGTGCGGCCGCAGTGACTTGGGTTACAACAGACTGGCAGCCATTCCGGATCCAGTCTTCTCGCTCACCACCCTCCAACAACTGTCAGTCAACCCACCACCACCGCACCACACCCTCGCCATCCTTCTTTTGAGGATAGTCTCAGATTAGTCTTGTCATCTTGCTCATCCTCCAGTCGACCCCAAAACTAAAAAATCGGCACCCAGCAGTCATTTTGCTGGGCTGAGCGCGTGCAATGCTTGCGTGCGTGCGTGCGTGCACGCAGCAGCAAGACCATGCATGCAGCCCATGGGGCAGCGCAGCTGGTGTCGACATGCTTGTTCATTTCAGCCGTTCCTTATTGTGTATTGGTTGCATCTGGTGGCGCCACATCCTGAGTGATTGATGCGCGAGTGCTCTCATCACCCGTGCTGTGTCGCCTGTGCTTTTATCTGCGCTCTCATTTTTAGGCTCCTCATAAACCCGTGCTGTGTCGCCTGTGATTTTATCCTCGCTCTCATCTGCGCTCTAATCTGCTGTTGCATACGCTGTTGCCTACGCTGTTGCGTACGCTGTGGTCTAACTTGCATGCATGTGTGCATGCAGATACCTGACTGGCAACCTCATATCAGGCGCTATACCAATGACGTTTTCGGCTCTTGTCAATCTTGAAACCCTGTAAGCCTTGCTTCCCATGCACGATGCATGCGCTCAACTCTACCTGCACTCTACATGCATACTGTGCTGTGCTGTGGTGTGCTGTGCTGTGCTGTGTTGGATGACCCAGCTTGACAGTTCATTTTCTACTCTCCTGAATCTCACTTATTCAACGGTCATGGTGAATATACTTCAATAATCCAATCCAAACCTAACCACCCAGGTTAATTCATTCAAGCAGGCTTGCATTCTGGTTGGTTGGCTGACTGTGCTGCCGAGTTGTCAACCCCCTCTGCCTTGCTCTCCTGCTGATCACATCGTGCATTGTCTCTCAGGTGGCTCAACAACAATCAACTGTCCGGGACCATCCCCCCCCTCCTCGCCATCATGACCCAGCTCAAGAGCCTGTACGTGCTTCACATATACCACTCTTGAGACGACTCAAAAGTCCCCGCATCCTCTCCTTTTGACTCTGTTAGAATACTCCTATTCTTGTATCATGCTTAGACTATCAAGTCTTGGGTAGTTATAAGCACCCAAGTTTAGCTTGAGTGTGTAATCAGGGTTTGCCCCAATTGAGGGGTTGGGCCAACCCAACCTTGGTCCAAATATTGTGACCCCCAAATAATTGAGGTCCCCAATATTGGAGGCTCAGTATTTGTGGTCCTCTACCACTGGTCCCTCCAATAATTGGTGACCCCAACTAATTGGTGAGGGCCAATAATTGTGGCAAGGCCCTCATCCAACCCATCCCTCGTTGTCCAACTATGTAATCCTCTGCTTCCCACTTCCCCGCCTTCTCTGTGTGCGTGCGCTCCTCTGCTGTGCAGGAATCTGGGTAGGAACCTGCTGACGGGGGAGATTGTCAGCAGCGTGCTTCAGAGCTCAGACAGGTCGATCTTCGCTCGCCCTTCAGCATCCCGTGCGGCAACGGCTGCTGCTGCTGTGGCTCATCCGTCGGTCGATGGTGCTCCGCCGAGGCTGGAGAGCCTGTGAGTGAGTGTATGGGGCAACAGTCGGGTGGAAAGACGGCATGCCACTACTGATACTGTGTGTCTCTGCATGTGTCTGTTTGTGTGTCTGTGTGTGTCTGTGTGTGTCTCTGTCTGTTTGTTTAAATCTCTCTCTATCTGTGTCTGTCTGTGACTGTCGTGCCTGTCTGTAGGTGTGTCTCTCCACCCGCACTCTCCTTCTCTCCACCCGCGCTCTCCTTCTCTCCACCCGCACTCTCCTTCCCTCCACCCATTCTGACTCTCCTCTCCACCCAACCTGACTCTCGTTTACCCCAATAGCTATAACAAAGCACATGATGGCTTTTGAGGCGCCTCTAAAGTCGTTTACCCCAGCATCTATAGCAGATCACATGATGTGTTGCCATTCTAACCCTCACACCAGCATCTTCTCTCTGCTTTTTCTGTTGTTGGAGTGCCTCAGAAGTAGACACTTTTAACCTTGCTCAAGCATCTTACTCTGTCTTTTCCGATGGTTCTTCATAGTACCTCTCGTAGTGTCAATGTCAGCATCAACATCAATGTCAGTCGATCTTTTAGGCGCCTTTAAAAAAGCAAACAGCATCAACATGAACAGCTTCAGTCTTAATGTCACCCTGAATGTCATTGTGAATGGATATATTTTTCTTTCTTTTCTTTCCTTTTCTTTTCTTTCTTTGTTTCTTTTGTTCTTTCTTTCTTTCTTTCTTTCTTCCTTCCTTCCTTCCTTCCTTCCTTCCTTCCTTCCTTCCTTCCTTCCTTCCTTCCTTCCTTCCTTCCTTCCTTCCTTCCTTCCTTCCTTCCTCCCTTGCTCTCTTTTTTTTTTTTTTTTTTTCCTGAAAATACCAACTTGTTTGTTGCTGTCAACAACATCAATCAATGCCATGCCATGTGCCTTCATCAGGTGCCTGAGCGACAACTTCCTGAATGGTTCCCTTCCCGATTCACTCATGATCTTCACCCGCCTCAAAGACCTGTATGCTCATTGCCTCACTCACACGAACACGCACACACACGCACGCACGCACGCACGCACGCACGCACGCACGCACGCACGCACCCACATCACATGCATTGTATGGCATGATGGTATCACATCACACACGATGCATGGGTGTACCGATTTTCATACCACCATTCACTGCACTCCCCTCCACCTTTCTGCTGCTGCTCGCAGCCGCCGCTACTGTGTCTCCCTCCCTCCCAAACACTCATTTCCCCCTCTTTCTCTGTGCCCTGCCATTGTTGATCAAACAGTCAGTTGCAGAACAACCAACTAGATGGGTCCATCCCCAACGTTGCCCCATTAACCTCCCTCACGAATCTGTACGTCTCCTCATGCATGCATGCATGTACCCATGCTGACTCCTGCCTTTCCCAAGCACCTTGTGAGGCGTTCCCCTCTCAGTGCCTCTCACTACCTCGCATCTCTTGTTTGGCCTGACCCTTGTCCATCTGCCATAATGCGTTTTTCAATCATTCCCATACCTGCCTGCAGCTTCTCCCCACCTCCGCACTCATCGTTGAGGCACCTCAAGAATAGCAGCTCTCCCCACCTTAACTGTCATCTTCTTCTGTGTTTGAGCCCTCTCTCTTCTCTCTTTCGTCTCCTCCCCCTCATGTGCGGGCTTGATGTGGCTGCTCCGCACTGCTGTGCTATGCTGTGCCATGCCGTGCCATGCCATGCCATGCCATGCCATGCTGTGCCATGCCATGCTGTGCCATGCTGTGCCATGCCATGCCATGCCATGCCATGCCATGCTATGCCATGCCATGCCATGCTATGCCATGCCATGCCATGCCATACCGTGCCGTCCCTTTTCTGCTCGCCCATCCTCACAGTCGTCTAGCTGACAACAGCTTTTCAGGCTACATTCCACAAAGCATTGGCAGCCTTCTGCTGCTTGAGCACCTGTAAGTAACTGTTGCTGCCCCCCTCTCCCTGCTCCACTCGTGTGACCCACCCACCCTCCTCCCCTTTTCCACTCCTCGTCTCTCCTTCCCTTCTCTCTTCCCTTCCCTCCGTCCCTCCATCCTCACCCATCAATGCCCTATATCCCTCCCTTCTCCCACCACCACAATTTGCAGTCCACCTCCCTTCTCATTCATCCATCTGCAATGTCTCTGTTTCCTTATGCCCCTGGCATTTTCATTGCCTCCTCTTAGATTTGACACCATCATCTTGGGCTCCTTTTATCTCCTCTCCTCTCCTCTCCTCTTCTCTCCTCTCCTCTCCTCTCCTCTCCTCTCCTCTCCTCTCCTCTCCTCTTCTCTCCTCTCCTCTCTTCTCCTCTCCTCTCCTCTCTCCTTTCCTCTCCTCTCCTTTTCTCATTCTCTCTCGTCCCTATTTCCCTCTCCTTCCACCCTTTCTCAACTTGCTGCCTCCTCCGCCGCCGTCGTCGTCGCTGCTGCTGCTGCTACTGCTGCTACTGCTGCTGCTATGTGTCAGGGACCTGAGTGGCAACAGCCTCACTGGAGCAATACCAGAGGACTTCACAGGCCTTGTCAAGCTCACAGTCCTGTATGCCATGCCATCCCATCCCATCCCATCCCATCCCATCCCGTCCCATCCCACCCCATCCCACCCCATCCTCCTCACATACTCGCTCCGCGCTTCCAGAACCTGCCCACAGCCGCACACCTTCTGCCCTGCACTTCGTCTCCTGCTGTACCCTAAAAGGACGTCTTCGACTTTCAGTCTTTCTTCCACCCTGCAACCCTCGCTGCTCATGCTCTACCATGACCGATTGTTCCCCTCATTCCCTTTCCTCTCGTCCCCTCATCCCCTACTTGATGCCCCCGTCCTCTCCAATCCCCCGTCCTCTCCAATCCCCCGTCCTCTCCAATCCCCCGTCCTCTCCAATCCCCCTTCTCTCCAACCCCCCGTGCTCCCCAACCCACCACCCTGCTGCCAGCAACCTGCGGGACAACCAGCTCACAGGGCGTCTACCCAACCCGCCACCCAACATCGTGCAGTACCAGCTCGACAAGAACTTCTTCACTCAGGGCTTCTCCTCCCAGCCCAACTGCTCCGTCATCTCCTTCCGAGGCAACTGCGTCCCCCAGTCAGACCCCTCGCTCTCCTGCCCGGGAGACAAGCAGAGGCACCCAGAGGTCTGCTCGTCCTTCTGCGGCCTCTCTGCCTCGGACCCTCCCTGCAACGGCCACGGAAAATGCTTCCTGGAGGGCCCGAACAAGGTTCCGGTGTGCCAGTGCGACGAGGGGTTTCACATCGGGGAGTACAGGGGCAGCTGCGTGCCACTGGTGGGTGGGTCGGCACTGATCGCGCTTCAGCCTGTGGAGGTGTTATCTGCTCTTACTGCGTCTGGGAGTGCGAGTGTGGACGGTGCGACCAAGTCCTTCACCCTCACGCCCCTGCAGGCGGGCACGACTGGAGCTGTGTTTCTCTCTGAGAAGGTCCCACTGTTCTCCTACCAGCTGATTGCGGACGGGTGTGGGCGTGAGCTCGCCTTCTCCTCCTCCTTCTCGTTCACTCTCACCCGTGCAGCCAGTGCCGCGTTTGGCTCTGATGGGTTTGCCTTTGTAGTGGCGTTTGACGAAACCCCCCCAGCAGAAGTCGTGGCGGGCGGCATGGGGTACGTGGGGATGGCTGCACGCAGCGTGGCAGTGGAGTTTGACACGTGGCAGGATGGGGGAGCCAGTGGCACCAGCAGGAGCAGAAACAGCAGCAGCAGCAGCGGCAAGAGCAGCGGCGAACCTGCCGGGAACCACGTGGGAGTGAATGTGAATGGTAATGCAGTGTCTGCAGCCACAGCTGCTGCCCCCATGCCTCTCAACGACGGCACTCCAAAATACGTCTGGATCGAATACGACCCCTCTGCTTCTGCTGCTGCTGCTCCTGCTGCTGCTCCTGCAGCTACTGCTGCCAGTGCAGCTGCTGGCACCCTGCGCGTCTTCCTCTCCTCCAGCCGCTCCCCGCGCCCGGCCAAGCCCGTCCTGTCACTGCGTGTCTCCCTGTGCGACGTTCTCCAGCCCACGCGCCTGGAGAGCACGTTTGCGGTGGGCTTCACTGCGGCATCGGGCAGCCAGGCGCAGAGGCACGCCATCTCCTCCTGGAACTTCACCACAAGTGAGTGGAACTTCACCACGCGTGAGTGTGCCGTGTGTTGAATGGCTGCCGTGCGTGTGTCGATGTCATATGCGCAGTGGCATGCCAGCCAGGCACGACTTTTGACGTGCCTCTCTGGGAGGTGATTCACAAATTCATGTTCTCTTTTCATACCGAAGATGGGAAAAAATATGCGATGATGTTCACATCCATTCGCAGAAGCAAGTGCAATTCGCTGCTTCTGCGAATGGATCTGAATAGCACTGCATATTTTTTCCCCATCTTCAGTATGAAACGACAACATGACTTAGTGATCATTGCAAACGAATTTGATGAAAAAAAAAATTATCAAGGTGGTGGAACTGCGTGATTCGTCATGCTGCACGATATGGTAGTACACATGCACGATATGGTGGTACTTCACTGTTCTTCACCAGTTTGTATGGGGCTCAATGGCTGGCCCCATACCACTTGTGGTAGCGTGGGTGCTGTCGGCTAGGTTGGGGTATCTGCTATAGCCTCTCATGCTCCCCTGCGCCACAAAACTCATGCCGCTTTCCTCCTTTCCTTCTCCATCCGCCATTGGTCCTGCTCTTTCTATTGTATGACCTTGTTGCACGTTTCTATTTGCTGCTATGCTACTGTTGTTCACCATGCATTGCTCCCTCCACTTCCCATACGGGTTTTTTTAAATCGATCCCACCCACGCCCTCCCCTCCTCCCCTCCCGTTTGCCTTGCAGGGTTCCCCCAACCACCCGCCAAGCGTGGTGGTAAGTTTCCTTTTCTAGTTGCACACGCACCCATGCATCCTTTGCTTTCGCAAACCCAGTAGCATGTGTTTTTCTCACTCTCTCACTTTCAAGACTCCTTCGACCTAATGGCTGCGGGCGTTACCCGATATGGGGCTGGGGGGAATCAAAGACAGCACAGCGCCCTCGATCTCTCTTCCTCTTGCTTCTGCCCTGTACCGTTCCAAACAAAGTAGCGTGGACGCGAGATGAGGTGCAACGGTCGCTAATCACTCCAGCTCAAACTGTCTGTCCTCAGTCAGCATCCTCTTTCTGTGACCGGGAATCCTCCTCCCCTCACTTCACACCCAGTACATTTGCGAATCCACACAAATCATCCTTTCATCCACTGCAACAACCACAGTCTCACGTCCCACACCCTGGCCCCCGCCTGCTTCTCCCCTTCCTGCTTTTCCCTGCTTGTTTTTCCCCTGCCCTCCCTCCCTCCCTCCCTCCCTCCCTCCCTCCCTCCCTCCCTCCCTCCCTCCCTCCCTCCCTCCCTCCCTCCCTCCCACCACCACTGACACATCACATCACATCACATCACAGCGGCATCTCTCGGCTTGCGGGTGAGCGAGGTGACCGTCAGCCCAGCAACGACGGGCATGAACCTGCTCTTCCGCTACGCCAGCTCCGGCATCCAGCCACCGGAGGTCGGCGACAGCAGGAACCAGTACAAAGTGCGCCTCACCTCCACGTGGCTCCTCCAGGACCTCTTCTGGCCCGTGAAGACGCAGACTGCATGCGGTGAGTTCGATTCTGCGTTTTGAGACGTCTCAATAGTCGCCTTACGTCAACATGGGATGTCCAAGGGCCTGTTTGAATTGTTTGATCCAGCCTGTCAAGACGCAGACTGCCTCTCGCAGGCTAACTGTGCTTATCGCTTGCTTGTTTCAGCCCTCCGTTCTCTCCACTTGCCATTCTTACTAACTGATCTGTCTCGCCCCCTCTTGCCGTGCATGCGCCTGCCTCTCTGCCTGTCTCCTTCTTTCCCGCCTGTCACTCTCCATCCCTTTCTCCCGCCTACCTCTCTCCCTCTCCACCTCTCCATCCACCCCCAGGCGACTGCTGGGCGTACGCGGTGGTGGGCAGCATAGAAGCCGCCTACAGCATCATGGCGAACCTCTCGGTGGCGCCGCAGCTGTCAGCGCTGCAGCTGCGCTCCTCCATGCGCGCCGACTGCCAGGGCGGCTCGCCCTCCCAGGCCTTCTCCTTCCTCCTCAAAGCTGCCCGCTCTGGCAAGGGCCCGCCCTCGGCTCGTAGTGGAGGGCGGAGCAGCAAGGCCGCGGTGCCTCGGATGGCTCGCGAAGAAAGGGCCAGTGCGAAGCAACAAAAGAGGCGCCTTTTTCGGAGGCGCCTTTTTCAAAGGCGCCTTTTTCGGAGGCGCCTCCAGGGAGGTGGCGGGAGCAGCAAAGCGGTGGTGGCTTGGAAGGGACCTACTGCGAGTGGAAAGCAGGAGAGGAGTCCGCTGTGCATGGGTCCGTTTGTTCCGCTCCTCAAGATGCTTGGTATCACCTGCAATGGCAAAGGTGCCACTAAGGTATGTCTGCCTGAATGCCTGGTTGCTTGGTTGCCTCATTACTTGCCCGCCCCTCTCGATAACTCCCTTCCCCCTCTTCCCCCCCCACTCGTCCTTTCCGCCTTGTTAGAAGGAAATGCTGCCATGAGCAACAAAATGTCAGCGCTGGAGTTCGAACTCGTGACCTTCAAATCTGTCCTGAAAGTGTCTCAGGACAGATTCAGGACAGTTTCTGCTAAGGCGCTGGTAATGGTGCATGCGAGTTTCGAACTGGAGACCTTTCGATTCAAGTGTCCCGAAAGTGTCTTGGCAGGACAGATTGGGGACAGTTTGGGGACAGATTGGGGACACTTTGGCGAAATCGATCTCGGGTCGCGTTCGGTTTGAAACTCGGCAGCGAAGTGTCGAAGTCAACGGAATTCGCACGGGAGTTACAGTCGGTGGTCGACGGAATTCTGGTCGCGGAGATTCTCGTCTACGGAATTTCAGTCAATGGAATTCGTCCGGCAAAATTCAAGGCTCGGGATTTCGCATCGACAAAATTCAGCGCGCGACCCGGGTCGACACTTTCTTGTGTGCTTTGTTTTCGTATTGTGTTCTAGTATAAAACCAGAGAGCACAAACCGGAAATTATCTAAGTCACTATCATTGCTATGTTTGTGTGTATCTCTGGCTATAGTGGACCGTTTCCTGCAATCTTTGGTGCGTTGGAATCGTGCTTCCGAGCTCTATCAAGCTGCTATAGTAGTGGAATTCTACACGCCTCCCCTCTTTCCTGCATATACCCTTCGCCCACCTTTATCCTCCACTTTCCGTTTTGTTCTCTTCTCCCCTCCTTCCTCCCTTCTAATCTACACTACCAAAAAAAAGAAAGAACTCACACTAGGCGTCTGTCTGCCCGGATATAATATCGCCCATCCCTCTCCCTGTTTGGCACTGTCGAATGATCCCGGCCGTAGCAGCAGCAGGCACTCTCAGGCGACTTCTACATCAGGGGATTCGAGTCCACGTCTTTCTATGGCTGGTTTGGCCTGCTGCTCGCTGTGCAGCGGCAGCCAGTGGTGGTGCAAATAGAGGCAACGGCAACTTCTTTCCAGGATTACGACGGGGTGAGCGGGCGTGTTCAGTAAATTCGATTTGATTGGATTTGGTTCGATCCTCTTCTTACTAATCCAATCTCTCCCAGTTTGCCACTCTCCTACAACGCCTCTCTCTTTTCTCTCTCTACGAAAGTAGGCGCTTGACTTTGTTTGTTGTTGCTCGTCAAGGAGCGTTTTCAGCCTTTTTACTTTTCACAACCGTCTAATACCGTCTCAATACTCTCTGCATCCCTCAGCTGTCCAAGTACCAGGACCCAGCGTGCTTCACGTACAACCTGAACCACGTGGTGCTGCTGGTGGGGTACCGCCTGGTGGGCAAGGACTCGCGCTTCCCCAACATGGCGCCGCCTTATTGGATCATCCGCAACTCGTGGGGGCCTGACTGGGGCGATGGGGGCCACATGCGCATGGACATCCAGGGGGGGGATGGCGTGTGTGGCATCAACACTCTCCCGGGGATCTACCCGATTGTCAGAGGTCAGTTTGTTGTGTGTGCGCACACACGTGTGTGTGTGCATGCGCATGTGCGTGTGCTTGTGAACTATCCATCTTCCCATAACCCTCTCATAGTCGATCTGCACTGTTTGTCTCTAGAGCGAAGAAGGAAGAAGAGAGAGAGAGAGAGAGAGAGAGAGAGAGAGAGAGAGAGAGAGAGAGAGAGAGAGAGAGAGAGAGAGAGAGAGAGAGAGAGAGAACAATTTCAACACTTTATCTTGCCTCTCACCTCTCATCAGCACCTTTGTTCGTGTCCCCTCCCCCACTGCATTTTCTCCCCAATCTCCTCCTCCGCTTGTCACCAGCGGTGTCGGACCCCTGCAACACAGCAGCCAGGAGCGACGCATCAGGGTCGCTGTTCAACCCGTGCGGCAGCTTCAACTGTGTGGTGGACGGCAGCTCCAACCGCTGCAACTGCACCGACCCCCGGTTCATTGAAGCCACCAACGCTGATGGCTCACGTACCTGTGCCTATGGTATGCATGTGTGCCTTGGCATACTTCTCCCATCTCCCGTCCCTCAGTTTCCATCTCTCATTTCCCATTTCTCATCTCCAGTCTCGAGCCGAGCGTCTGCTGTTGCCCTATGTGAAGCAAAACTCACAAGGGCTATGTAGGCTCATCTCATTTCTACAGCAAATCCCATCTCTCAAAACACAGAAGAGCAATTTATTATTTACATCCGCACTGCATTGGACGTCTGCTCATCATCATTCATCATTCATCCGCTCATAATGCTTTGCTTCAATCCATTCTATTCTGATCCATTCGGCTCCGCCCGCACCGCAGTGGACATGTGTGGGGCGTTGGCCCGCAATCCGTGTGCGGTGGGCACATGTGTGAATGACGGGGCGGGGTCGTACTCGTGTGTGTGTCCACCGGGCTTCAGGCAGGGCACCACCGTCGATGGCACCTTCTCCTGTGCTCCAGGTACTTTCGCCTGTGCTCCAGATGTCGAGAGAGAAAAAATGTGCACAAGGAATGATTGAGGGTAAAAACATACACGTGTGATCCCTTTTAAGAATAAACCAGAGTCTAGCCTATTACTAAAACACACAATTATATTGTTTAACAAATTCCCCAGGCTAGACAAGGAGTAGTCCCTGAGCAACAATAACAAGCAAACTCAGGGCGACACTACTACTCCAACTTCTGAAACAAATAAGGCCACACGACCAGTCCAAGAGTTTGCTAAAATATATATATGATCAACAGTGATTAAGACACAAGCAAGTGACTACCACAAGTAACTAGTTCGAGTTGAGTACAAAACCGCTGATAGTCGTAAGGCGGAAGTGCCTTGGTGAAGATGTCAGCAGAGTTGGCCTATGAGGCCACTCTAACCACCCATGCATGACCGCACTGCTACAACTCACTCAAGAAAATGTACCACAGCCCAACGTGTTTCGTGAACCCACCTGTCGAGGTTGCTTACGCAACATGATCATGGACCTTTTGTAAACTGAGAGCATTGGTGCAGTACGAGGCGGCTTATCCAAGTCAGTGAACAGAAAGGTGAGTCAATGCAACTCCTGTGCAACCATGGTATCGGAGTAGAGCTCACCCTCACTGCTAAAAAGAGCAGCTGACAACACAAGAGTCAACCTCCAAGACACAGCTCTATAGCCGAGACTAAAGCAGTAACCTTGTGAAGATCTTTTATGCTCAGCGTCGTCTATCCACGACGCGATGTGGCCAACGAGGCTGACTGACTGTCTCCCTCTAAACACAAGCCCCATGCCTGATGTGTTCGCACGGCCCTCTTAGCGGCCTCTCAGTAGATAGGACGCTGTCTCTCGGTTGCAACAAAATGAGCAAGAACGCTGAGAGGGTATGCAAGATCTGGACGACTACAGCTCGTCGGTTACATGAGGCAGCCCACCAGCTCTGCATAGTCATGTCGAGATATAAAAAACATGCACTAGGAGTTCTTAAGGTTACAAACATACAAGTGTAAACCCCTTCAATAACCCTAGTCCGGCCTGTAGCTATATATATGAAACATGTGAATACATAATTTGACACCAGGTAGCTTCTCTTGTGCTCCAAGTAACCTCTCCTCTACTCCAGCTACCTCTCTGACTCCACTTTTTTATAAACTGGATGTTTGTAGGCAGCAGGATTTCTCGTCACGGCACGTGAAATTTTTCAAAAATGAAAAGGCCAATTTCCAAAAATAAATGAGGCCTTGCATCCCTTGCATTGCTGGTCTATGTGCCAACATGTGCCACCTTGAGCAGGCAACTCACTAGTAAGCTTCTTCAGAAGTGCCTCAAGAGTTGCTCCTGGTTTCCTGTCCTGTTTCTGATCGATGCTGCTGTGCTGTGCAACGCCCCTAGAAGCGACATCCTGACACCCGACATCTTCCGCTCATATATGTTTATCTGCTCTACGGCCTCACCCGAAACAACTTTTCTGCGCTCATTGTCCTGTGCCTCGTGCTCTGCTGCGTAACACGCGCCCCTGCAGGCGACACGCGCTCGCAGTACACGGTGATGGCGCCCAACATCTTCTGCTCAGACATCTACCCCGTCTACGGCCTCACCCGTGACAACTTCACTACGCTCAATGTGAGTCAATGCCACACACGGTGCCGATGCTGCTGCTGCTGCTGCTGCTGCTGCTGCCGCCGCCGCCGCCGCCGCCGCCGCTGCCTCCGCCGCCGCTGCTGCTGCTTGGCTTGTGACACGGACATTGTATGTGCCTTGGTTGATCCGTGAGTCGTCTCAGGAGACATTTCTGCCATGTGATGCCCTGCATGTGATGTGTCGCTTCGGTTCATCCTTAAGTCTCCACATTCTCCGTCTCATCAATCTCTCCATCGGCTTGGTCTCCATTGGCTTGGTCTCCATCGGCTTGGTCTCCAGCTGCCCAGTCTCCGTCCGATCAATCTCTGACACGTCATAAGCTCTTTACACCCTCCCCACCCTCCCCCCTGTATCACTGCAGCCCACTGTGAATTGTCTACTGCCCCCGGTAGGCCTGGTCCTCACTCTCATGGCCAAGCCCGGACTCGCCTTTGTGAGATGCCTAAAGAATTCCTCTTCCCTCTCCCCCCCTACCCACCAACTCCGGGCCCCCCGTGCCTGTGCAGCCCACTGTGAACTGCATCGAGCCTCTACCTGTCGGCCTGACACTCAATGTCACCGCCAAGCCCGGACTCGCCCCCTGCACCGTCTACTACACCACTGTCCAGGTAGGCAGCGCTTGTTGGGTTGAAGTCGACTGTAAGGTCGTTGGCACCACTGCAAGAATGTGTGAATGGGATTCCGAACGCCGTTTGAGTTGACTCAAGAGGCATGTTGATGGTTTTCCCTGCGCCGTTCGAGTTGACTCGATGACACGGCGGTTGGAGGGTGGGTATGTGTGGCGGTTGGAGGGTGGGTATGTGTGGCAGTTGGAGGGTGGGTACATTTGGTGGTTGGAGGGCAGGTTCATGTGGCTGCTCGTCGTGAAACACTCTGAATATTCTTTTCTTCTTCTCTTTATTGTCCTTCCCTTACACCTGGAACCTTGCTCTTGGATTCCTTGCTTCCTTTTAGTCCACCTGCTTGCATGTCTCTCTCTCTCTCTCTCCCTCCGTGGTTTGTCCTCTCCCACCGCCCCTCTCCCATCCACCACCACCGCCGCCGCCGCCGCTGCTGCCACCATCGGCTCCTTCCCCCAATAAAACTCCCATCACACCAGGACGACACGTGCCAGTCCATAGGAGAGTACTTCAACCTCAACGACTGCCGCAGCAAGGACCCCTCCTGCGCCACGGTCATCCAGAGCCTCAACCCAGGCCTCAGCTGTCAAGGCGGGGCGCAGGTGCAGCCGAACCAGGCGGTGTGTGTGGAGCGGCGAGCAGGGGCGGCGGGGAAGGGGGGGCAGGTGATACCGGTGTGCTCGCAGTACTACCTGGTGCAGACCGCCGAGACCTGCGATGCCATCCGCTCCGTGCCCAACCCGCCGCTTTCCCCGATTGAGTTCTTCCGCCTCAACCCCGGCATCAAGTGCGGCCGCCTCGTGCCCGACGCTGCTGGCCTCGACCTGCACACCGGCTTTGAGGTATGGATGGGAGAGGCTTGGTGCTACTGGCAGTTTACAGGCAGTGTCCGTTTTTTTTTTTTTTGGCGTATAAACTGTATATAGACTGTTGCTAGCGTGGACCTGCACTGGGGCTTTGAGGTATGAGATGCGTTCAAAACAGATTTCTTTGAGGTGCAAGAGGGTTCATGATGAACCACCCATGTTGCCGTAGTCATGGCCTTGCTGTGTTGCAGCAAGTCCCTGATGTGTTGCTGTTCTGCATGGCCTGACCTCACATCGTGCATGCTCAGCACAGCACAGCGCAGTGCAGTGCATCACCCACTTCCTCCTTCCCCTCGCACTGACTCTCCTTGTTACCTGTACCTGCCTCTCATCCCATCCCATCCCATCCCATCCCATCCCAGGCATGCATACAGGTATCCGGTGAATACACCGTTGGGATCTGCCCAAAAAGCAAAGCGCTCACAGCAAGCGGGAGCGACCGCTGCAGCTTCATTCAGATAAAATACTTCAGGGGCATTCGAGGATGCTACAAGCGCATCAATGGATACGAGTGCGTCGATAAAATACCCTCAGGCGCCAAAATTTGCCTGCCAGACCAAACCAGGATTCGCCAAGGAATATGCACAGTCTAAGTGCAGAAGTGTGCTGTATTGCTGTGGTTTTTGTGTGTATATATATTGTAGCCCTAGTAGGGTCCCTTTAGCCAGGTGTGTCAATATTAGGCTATCTTTAAATTAGTTACGCATATAGGTAGCTATCTATTATAAGCAGTGTAGCCATTTTAATATCAATTTTATGGTGTATGATGTTGGCCCACAAGATTTGCTGTAGGATGCACGTGATTGGTTGCGCAATTTCAACATTATGAGCAACCCTATTTCGCTACCTCGCCAGCGTTCGCCTCGGGCAAAATCGGAACTGTAGTGGGCAGGTGAAAAAATGTTACCAGCTTCTTCAAAATATCTCACGAACGGACGGATGCCAGCGTGATAAGCTGTTTGTTCAACGGCTGTGATCAAAATATGGGCTTGTATCGTGCGGGCAACTGGCTGGTGCTACTTGCAATTAGGCAGGCTGTCGAGCTGGGGCTGACCAAATTCGCGTGCAATGGTTGGGCATCCTGTGTAGTTGGCACATGAGGAAGGTGGCACGTGAGGAAGGTGTGTGTCTGTAAAAATATCTGCCACGTTGGACCCGAAGTGACGCAGGTTTTGCACTTTTATGGGGTTCCCATCGCAGGAACGCCATCTCAGCAGAGAAGTCAATCCGAGCACTCCCGTTTCTCCAAGCACAGCTAGAAATGGCGAGACCCACAACAAACCAGCCATACCAGCCATAGTACCTCCCAAGACAAACCACACACTTCCCACGACTTTCCCTAAGCTAGCACCACCTTAGCAACGACTTCATTAGCGCCGTCGTAGTCACACGACGTCAATACGCAACCATTGCGAAGTCATGGGTCGGTGCTTGTCAGCTCATGGTCTTGGTCGGTCATTATACCTGCCAAGTCAAGTCACGTTACAACGGACCTTGCTGGGACCTTGCTGTCGTAGGGGGCAGCTCAGTATGTCTAGCAGAGGCGGTTAGTCCGAGAGAGGCACAAAAACTTCTCATGTACCCAAGGCCGCGGAACGAATGCGACTGCTACTACTCATCCCTTCAATAGAGTATTGCGAGTGCGAGTGCGAGTGCGAGTGCGAGTGCGACTGCGAACGCGAGTGCGAGTGCGAGTGTGACAGCGAACGTGCGAGTGCGACTTGCGCGTTGCGACTGCGAATGCGATGGCGAATGTGAGCGCGAGAAAGGTATGCTTAAGCACCTCGCACACTCTCTGCCCGCCTCAGCGCCGTCTGCCCACCATGCCGTCTTTTTGCGGGGCCTTAGCATCCCGCACCTCACCCCCCCGCACTCATTCCGGCGCCTTTTTTTCATCCGGGACCCTTGAGAAACTCCGGCGGCGCCACAGTAACTCCCTTACCTCCTTTCCCTCTCCCCTCTCCCCCCACCGCCCCACTCCACCTCACGCCCACCTCCTCCATCTCACTCCCTGCCCTCAGACTGGTGAGCGGTCCAGAGTGCAACCGCTACAGCGCGGACGAGCATGGAGGAGGGTTCGAGCAGGGGGGTTTGCGCACGGACCTCTGCTCTCGTGGCACGTGTGGGCGGCTGTGTTTGCAGTGGCTTCTCTTCTCAGCAGCAGCGTCCGTTTTTGCCGGCCGGTTGCAGCGTCCCTCCCGGCAAGCCAATGTATGTTCTACCAGCAATCCGTTTCTCCTCCCCCTTCTGTTCCTCTTCCTCCTAGTCTCCTCCACCCTCTCTTTTTTTCCTTCCCGTGCCAGTTCCCTCGTATCTTGCAGCTTTTCCCTCATCTTCCCTGTACCTCTTCTTTCCCATTCTCCCCCCCCCCCCCCTACTAACCCCTACTTCCCTCACTTCCCCCCCGCATTCACCCACCCACCCCTCAGGGCAAGTCCTGGATGCGCTGAAGCAGGCGTGGGGAGGAGCAGGAGTGTTCCCAGCAGCGGCGACGTGGACAGCGGGAGCCATGTGCCAGACGCTGGCGGGCGTGACCTGCGATGCGAGCGGCGAGACCATCCTTGGCCTGTCAGTCACCTCCCTGCCTGCCTGCCTGCCTGCCTGCCTGCCTGCCTGCCTGCCTGCCTGCCTGCCTGCCCGCCGGTCTGCCTGCCGGTCTGCCTGCCGGTCTGCCTGCCTCCTCCTCCTCCTCCTCCTCCTCCTCCTCCTCCTCCTCCTCCTCCTCCTCCTCCTCCTCCTCCTCCTCCTCCTCCTCCTCCTCCTCCTCCTCCTCCTCCTCCTCCTTCTCCTCCCACCCTGGCGTGCTGATTACAAGGACTTGCCTTGGAACTGGCTTGCCTTGCTCTGCCTTGAGTGTTGCCCACCTTGAGTGTTGCCCACGCTGAGTGTGATTTAGCACTGAGCTAGGGGTGGCGCGTGCACTGCACTGCAGACAGCTATTCGTGCAGAGTGTGGGGTGCCATGCCTGCAATGGGCTCAGTTCGAGTGCGGTTAAGTGGGGTGCAGTGAAATGCAGTTTGGTAATCCTGTCCTTTTACCGCCTTCCCTTCCAGTGATGCCTCCTGGAAGCCTGCCAGATTCTGCTCATCGGAGTCCCCATGTGCCATCGGAGTCCCCATGTGCCATCGGAGTCCCCATGTGCCCGCAGCTTCTTTTGACATGTCGCACAAACACTCCCAATGTGTGCGCTGCGCTTCTTCTTTTCTTCCCGTGTCCCTCATCGCATCTCGTCCCTCCCTCGTCTACCCCGTGGTGTTTGCAGGATGCTGGAGTCGCAGAACCTCACAGGGTCCATTCCAATGGCCATTACAGGCCTCGGCGCCCTGCAAATGCTGTGAGTGCCAGTAGCAGCTGGGCAGTGCTGCAAGTGCTGTGTGTGCTGTGGGTGCTGTGTGTGCTGTGGGTGCTGTGCTGTAGTGGGTCGAGGAAGCGGATCATTGTGTTGGGTGAAGTTTTTGCATGGCTCCACATACCTGTGCTGCGGCCACCTATGTTGCACATGCTGCATATGTGATGCCTACCCATTCTCATATGCTTGCGCATGCTTGTGTGCGTGCACGCGCACGCACGCGCGTGTTTCTGTGTGTTTCTGTGCGCATGCGTGCGTGCATGCATGCACGTGTGTATTATTGTGTTGTGTGCGTGCATGTGTGCATGTGTATACTGCGCCCTTGACAGAAAACTCAGGAACAACCAGCTCAATGGTACCATTCCAATATATATCAGCTCCCTCACAGCTCTCACGCAACTGTACGCTCTAATCCTTCCCCTCTTCTTCCGCCCTCCCCTCATCTCCCCTTCTCCCGTTCCCTCCTCTCCCTCCCTCTCCCCGTCCTTTTCTCCCTCCCTCTCCCTCCCTCTCCCTCCCTTTCCCTCCCTCTCCCTCCCTCTCTCCTTTCCTCCCCGTGTGCACACCCACCATTCTTTCTCAATCACACACACACTAACGATGTTTTTTTCTCTGTGCCCGCGCCTCCATCTCTTTCACTGCAACGCGAAACACATTGCATCGATTCTGAGTCGAGAAAGTATCAGCCCGTTGTTGTATCCACCTCTGTGCCTGCCTGCCTGCGGAATTCACACCGGTGATTCCCTGTTGAGCCGCCAAATCGACTGGAATCAGTCAGAAGGTGGGCGTACGTTTTGTATGACTCATCTCCTCGTGTCTTGCTCGTGCCGTTCTGGCTTCGTGCTTTGTGACTGCATGGCTTCATTTCATGGCAGGGATTTGAGTGGCAACCAGCTTACTGGGCCCGTACCTTTGGGTTTCTCCTCCCTGACCGGGCTTCAAGAGCTGTAGGGACCACACCGCACCGCACCGCTATACCATGCTATACCCATGTCTCCCCATTACCTCACACCATGCCATGGAGAATTGCTGCCATCCCATTCCTGCCATGCCATGCCATGCCATGCCATGCCCTGCACTCCCGAGTCCCATCCGACCATGTGACCATGTGCCACTGTGCCTGTCTCGCTTGACATGCGCATGCCCCCCTGGTCCCATCCATCCTATGTGTCCCATCCATCCCGTCCGCTCCTTGTTGAGCGGACCATGTGGCACTCCCGAGTCCCGTCCGACCATGCGACCAAATGCATGCACACTACATTGTTCCCTTGCATCGCATTCCACCCCATTGCATCCCCTCGTTTCCCCGGCAGGTCATTGAGTGGCATACCCATCACATCGATACCCTCTAAGCTCAGCCCACTCACGGCACTCACCGCACTGTACACACTCCTCTCCCCTCTTTCTCCCTGCTTTCCCCTTTTTCTCTCTTCTCGTTCCCTCTTTTCTCGACTCCTGCACATCACGTCTCTCGTTGGTTGCTCATGGCTCGCAGTTAGGGCAGCTAGTGCTGCTGCTGCTGCTGCTGCTGCTGCTGCTGCCGCCGCCGCCACTGCTGCTTCTGCCACTGCTCATGATCTCTCCATGCATGCTGCTATTATGCTATATCGTCATTCTCGTTCTCCTCCTTCCTCCCTCCCTCCTTCCCCTCTGCCCGTCTTCCCATCTGCCCATCTTCTCTCGGGTCAGGCATGCGTGCAACACCAAAATGGCTGGTGCCTTCCCCATGGCCCCCATTTTGTCTTTTACGAAACTTATGCACCTGTAAGTTTTCCCTGCTGTCCCCTCCCCTCCCCTCCCATCCCCCCACCTCCGTCACTTCATTCTTCTAGGCTCATGTGAGTTCTCAAAGCGCAGTTTGACTTGATTTTCTGGACTGAAAAGGAATGTTTGCAAGGGAACCTAATTAGCAGGGTTGCAGGGGACGTCCAGACCGTACATACATACATGCACGCATGCATGCATGCATGCATGGATGCATCTGTCTAGTGACACGACTCTCATTTAGACGATACAGTGCGACTTGCAGACCGAAGCTCTCCTTCTTTATGGTATCTCCCTTCATCAAGGATACCCTCCTCCTCCTCTCTCTCCTCTCCCTCTCTGCTCTCCTGAAGCTCCTTTGTGTTGATATGGCACTGGTTACACACATACACAAGCCTACTCACGAGTCATTAAGTATGACCATCACCCTATAACTACTTATATTTAACCAACTTTGCCTGTTCTATGGGAGCTCACGCACGTGCTCCAATGCCCATTCCTCCCCTTCAGGAGTCTTTGTGGCAACCATCTTGGTCCTAATCTTCCCAGCCAGCTGAAGAAATTGTCTGCACTGACCAACCTGTGAGTTTGGGCTAACTACAACAACTGATCCACAAGTGGTGTCGAAATCTCCATCCACCACCACCTCTCACTCACGCATGCCTCATGCATGCCATGCCATCACTTTTACCGCCTGTCGAGAATGTTGAACAGTTGTGTCGGGCCGTCTCACGATTGAGGCCGGTTCTTAAAGCCGTCCTGCCTGCTCTCTGCCTCTGTGATCTCATCTCGTCTCGTCTCGTCTCATCTCATCTCGTCTCGTCTCGTCTCGTCTCGTCTCGTCTCGTCTCGTCTCGTCTCGTCTTGTCTCATCTCATCGCAACTTCTCACCTGTCCACTCTACTGTGCCTGTCAGCAACCTCGCGGACAACAGCTTCACAGGGAGTGTTCCTGCCGCCATCCTCTCAATGCCTTCCCTGCAAGAACTGTACGCGCTGTGCCTCGCTGCATGTGAGCCTACCTCTCATCACCATACCTACAATACCATCTCATCACCATACCTCTCATCACCATACCTCTCATTACAATACCTCTCATCACCATAACTCTCATCACCATACCTTTCATCGCCATACCATCTCATCACCATACCTCTCATCACCATACCTCTCATCACCATACCTCTCATCACCATACCTCTCATCACCATACCTCTCATCACCATACCTCTCATCACCATACCTCTCATCACCATACCTCTCAATCACCATACCTCTCATCGCCATACCTCTCATCACCATACCTCTCATCACCATACCTCTCATCACCATACCTCTCATCACCATACCTCTCATCACCATACCTCTCATCACCATACCTCTCATCACCATACCTCTCATCACCATACCTCTCAATCACCATACCTCTCATCGCCATACCTCTCATCACCATACCTCTCATCACCATACCTCTCATCACCATACCTCTCATCACCATACCTCTCATCACCATACCTCTCATCACCATACCTCTCATCACCATACCTCTCATCACCATACCTCTCATCACCATACCTTTCATCACCATACCTCTCATCACCATACCTCTCATCACCATACCTCTCATCACCATACCTTTCATCACCATACCTCTCATCACCATACCTCTCATCACCATACCTTTCATCAGTGTGCATCCTCCCCATCTGCTACGACTTATTGACACTGCATGATGACCATCCATCCTGTCTCTGCCTGGAAGAAACCTGGTGCCCCACAACATAGTGCTGCTGCTGTTGCTTGGAGTCGTTTTCGGGGATCCCAACAAATGTACCACTTTCTTTTCTCGCCCCCTGCCTCTCTCTCCTCGTCAGCAACCTTAATGGCAATGGATTTGTTGGTGTCAACTCGAAAGTCATTCCAGGCCAGCTCAAGACTCTGTGAGTGACATGCTGGCAACCTGCATTCTTGCAGTGACAAATACTGTCTGCTACATGTCTTTTCCATTTTCCTCCATGTCTCCTCCGTATCTACTTCTTCTTCTTTTTTTTTTTTTAATGTCTTCATTCACATGCATGCATCGCATTCGCAAGCATGCATCGCATTCGCAAGCATGCATCGGTATTCACAAGCATGCATCGCATTCACAAGCATGCATCGCATTCACAGCGCCAAAAAAAAACAAAGTCACAAAAAGTATCACCAAAATTCGCAGTGCATCGCATTACCCATCTCTTGGTGGTCTGACACCAATCTATCCCCTTGTCTCGCAGCAAATTGGGCAACAACAAACTCACAGCGGTTCCGACCATCCTTTCCTCCTTTGCCCCCTCCTTGCAACACCTGTAAGTGTTCCATGGATGCATATACATGCACAAGTGTGCGTGCGCACTTAGACATGCGCTGCACACACACTTGCATTGGTCTGCTCCACCCAAGCAGCTTTTTTTGGCTCAAATTTTCTTGTGCAGGTATGCGCGCATGCGTGAGACCACAAATGTATGCTGTTGCTCCCATGCTGTATCCATGCGTCCCGTTCTGGCACAACATCCGGCGTACGTGTGTGCTTGCTTGCGTGGCATGGCAGGGATGTGAGTGGCAACAGCATCGGAGTGACCCCTGAATTTATTCCCACACTCACAGTCTTGCGCCACTTGTAAGTGGGCTGACCAGTTCAGTTCAGTCCAGCAGTAGCGGAGGAGGTTTGGCGGTTGGAGGCTCTGACTGACTGATACAGTCATTGCAACAGTGAAGATTAGAGAAATGAGATATTTTTTTTGCAAAAAAAAAACGGAAAAAAAAGGATCAAAAGTGGCGATGCGGCATGCACTTTTCTCCCGCCAGTCCCCATTCTGTCATGTTCGTGTTTGCCTCTTGCTCGTCCCTATCACTGTGTTTGTTCGGGTCCTTGTGCGCCAGCATTCCACGCATGCGCCACGACTTTCCAAGAGATGTTTGGCTTTCACAAGCACCACATTCCACAACACCTCCATCACCAGCTATCCATCCACCCTTCCAAACTTTCAATCCCCCCCCCCCTCCCCCCACCATCACAGGGACCTGAGTCGCAACAGACTCATGGTGTTTAACCTCCTTACGAATTACACATCCCTGAAATCGCTCCAGCACTTGTCAGTCCTCCTCCTCCTACTCCTCCTCCTCCTCCTCCTCCTCCTCCTCCTCCTCCTCCTCCTCCTCCTCCTCCTCCTCCTCCTCCTCCTCCTCCTCCTCCTCCTCCTCCTCCTCCTCCTCCTCCTCCTCCTCCCCTTCTTGCCATGCTTCATGCCCTGCTGTACAATGCTCTCCCCTGCTGCCCTTCTGTTGCGCTGCAGCCTTGGATTTCAGAGGACCATGTTCCCGTTCCCATCCCAGCCAGAGTAGCAGACAGCCGAGCTCTGTGAATGATTGATTTCTTTGAATGGCAATCTTTCAACTCCGTTTGGCTTTCTGGCAGGGATGTCTCTCACAACATGCTCACTGGGAATCTTCCACATCTCTTTGCTCTCACCCTCTTGACAACCATGTGAGCCATGCTCCTTGCTTATCCCCACCGCACCACTCATCCCCACTGTTTCCAAAATGGTTCGTCCCGAACCGGTTTGAGTGTGGTACTTGCTTGCTGAGCCTTAATCATGATTTATCAATCATAGTTAAGAATTAAAATGGAGCATACGAAGATTCAGTATCATCGAGCACATGCCGCAGGTCGCACGCTTCTCCAAGGGGCCGCGCTTTGGGATGGGTCGGCCCCAATCCGTTCCGGATAGCGCAGGATGACTGATCCTGGCTGGTGCAGGGGTCAACCTGTGAAATGCTGGACCCACCCAACCTATCCCAAGCTCAGAACTCTTCTTTCCTTTGGCTTTGCATGCCTGCAGCAACCTGGGTTACAACAGATTCACCTGGTATGTGCCGACGACTATTGGCAGCGTCAGAAGCCTGCAGGAGATGTAAGTACGGTTGATGTTTGAGTCGTCTCAAAAATCAGCGATGCTGTGTTGATGGCTCTGGTGCTGTGTTGTTGGATGTGATGCTGTGTTGATGGATGTAATGATGTGTTGATGGATGTAATGATGTGTTGATGGATGTGCTGTGTTGATGGCATGGTGCCCCACCATCTCTGGTTCTGCTTCTGCTTCCGCTTGCTTGATGCGCTGCCACTGCATGTGTGCTTGATTCTGATCACATGCCCGGAATGCTCGTCTTGCCCTTATTATTTACTTGCTGTATTGAAGACTCTCTAATGGGCAGTTCTGTTTTTGCAATCTGCCTTGCCTCCTATCTCTGCTCTGCTCCTGCTCCTTGGCCCTGTTGCTTCACTCATGCATTTGAATCTGCTCGAGAGTTCACCTTTGTTTCATGTAATGTATTGGTTCCACTTTTGATAGTTCTGAAAGGGGGCTCCAATTCAATGTAACTAATACCACCTGCTCTTACACCTGGTATGTTTCTCTGCTCCGCTGCTCTCCTTTGCCGTCACTTCCTCCTCACTTCTCTTCGCCAGAAATCTGCAGAACAATCTGTTGGATGGGTGGCTTCATGAGAATTTCACTAGGTTTACAGCCCTCAAGTCACTGTGAGAGGCCTTCGCTGGCGCATACGTGCGTGCGTGTGTGTGTGTGGGTGGGCGAGCGGGCGTGAGTGTGTGCTTGTATTCGCATATTTGCATGTTCTGCATTGGTGTGTATGCAGTGTGCACTCGTGCGTGTGTGCCTGTGTGCATGGGTGCGTGTGTTCTTGCGCCGTGTGCGTGCATGCATGCATGCTGCTGCTACTTCAACCACAGTGCTATCCGTGTGCGTTCGTTCAGCAATGCTCCTCCGACCAACCCAACTCAATCTCCTCTCCTCCACTTCTCAGCACTGCTCCCTATTCCCTCTCCATCCATATGCCAGTGCTCTCTCTGACAACCGGATTTACGGGCCTCTACCACTTAAATACAGCGGATTCACCAGTCTGGAGCACCTGTGCGTGAACCTCATAGTCTCTTAACTAAACCTCAGCTTAGCACTCCAATGTACGAGTCGACTAAATGATCGACCACTTGACTGCAGCATGTTCATGGGACTGGACTGGAGCACGCACCTGTGGGTAACTGGTGAAGTGAACCTCATCGTTTCTGAGCTAAGCTACTTCTTAGATAACACCTCTCCTGGATTGCCTTTGCGTTGTGTTTGCTTGGACTATCCTGTGTCTGTCTTTCTGTCTGTCCGTCCGTCTGTCCGTCCGTCCATCCGTCCGTCTGTCTATCTGTCTGCCAAATCATCATCTTCGCCTGTGTCATAGGATGGTGCCATACTGACTGCTCTCGTGCCTCTCCGTTTGTCTGTGCTTGTGCCTGTGCCCCTTCCTCTTCCTCTGCCTGTGCCTGTGCCATGGCAGGGATATTAGTAGGAATTTCATCCCTGGAGGCCTTCCCGTCTCATGGAGTGCGCTCAGCGGCCTCAAAACCTTGTTAGTCCACTGCTCCCGCCTCTCTTGTCGTTCAACCCTATGTTGGAACTTGGAATGTACACGTGTTGCGACTAGTTTGTTTGAGCTCGTACCATTCGCTTTTGTACGCTTGATTTCCATGCTCCGGTAAATTCGGAATACGGGCTGTTGTGCAGGGAGGAGAAATTACGGCAGCAGCGAAACAACCTTGATGCCCTCAGCTCACCCCCTCAATCTCCCCCATCCTTGTGTCTGCAAGTTGTTGTTCTTTTGCCCTTTTGTCCCATAATTCCATCATCCCACCACGTCTCTGCTTTGCCTCCATCCATGCCACCTTGCCCCTGTGCCTTGTGTCGTCACAGGAACCTCTCTCGCAATGGTCTTAATGGCAGTGTTCCTCAGTCGTGGACTTCCCTCACCAGCCTCACTGCTCTGTAAGCACAGCGCATGCATGCATGGGTAGCAGCAGCAGTGGCGGCAGGTAGCAGTGGCAGCAGGTAGCAGTGGCGACAGGTAGCAGTGGCGGCAGGTAGCAGTGGCGACAGGTAGCAGTGGCGGCAGGTAGCAGTGGCGACAGGTAGCAGTGGCGACAGTGGTGGCAGGAAGAAGCAGGAAGGGCGAGGTTTTTGCTGCTCAAGAACAGGGTGGGTCCGTACCGCACTCATTTATGTGCATTTTGCGATGCCCATGCTAGTCGTGTTTGTGTGCAGCAGAGCACATTTCCCAACCCCCCTGCACCCCCGTCTTCCCACCACTCTTTCTCACACCCTTTCCGCCCTCCTGCTCGGCTGCACCTGCACAATCTCTCCACCTGTTTCCCACTATCCCGTCTTCCTACCCCTCTTTCGGTGGCGCAGTGACCTGTCATACAACAAGCTAGACGGCGAACTTCAGACGTTTAACGTGAAGGGCATGAGCTATCTTGCACACCTGTGAGTAAGCAGCGGCAATTGGCAATCTACATGTGAGCGAGCAGCTTCCTTTACTGCATGGTTGCAGACCATCCCCTCCGTTTTGCTTCTTACCTCTTGGTCCTAAACCTCATCCCACCACATCCCATCCCACCCCATCCTATCCCATCCCATCCCATCCCATCCCATCCCATCCCATCCCATCCCATCCCATCTCATCCCTATCCCAACCCCCCGTCACTGACAGTCGCCTCAACGACAATGCTTTTCAGGGTGCTCTGCCAGTACAACAACTCACACAGACCACAAGCCTCAGATCGCTGTCAGCACCCCACCACCTCCCTCCCTCCCTCCCTCCCTCCCTCCCTCCCTCCCTCCCTCCCTCCCTCCCTCCCTCCCTCCCTCCCTCCCTCCCTCCCTCCCTCCCTCCCTCCCTCCCTCCCTCACTCACTCTCTCCCTCGCCCTCTCCTGCCCCCTTACAGTCCTCTCTCTCTACCTCCGACCCCACTCCCTCTCTCTCTATCTCTCCCTCTCCCTCGCCTCTCCCTCTGCACCTCCCCCTTTCCTGTTCCTTGTTGACTAAATGTGTTCGCACATGCATGTGCATGTGTCCGATCCAAATTTGCACGTGTTCACATGTCCGCATGTGCATGTGCACATCTGCTGATTGGTCCATCCATGTTAGGAGCATCCATCCACATGTTTCGCCTGTGAGTGAGCTTCTCATTGCACATGTTCCTCTTCTGCTGATCTCCTGCGTCTCAGCAGGAGTTCTTCAAGAGTCTTCTATGGAGTCAATTCACCTAACCCCCCGCTTCCCCCCCTCCCCCCCCCTCTCTGTCTCTCCTCTCCCCCCCCCAAAGCCTGCCTTTCCCCCATCACCCATCCTGCTGCACTTTGTCGTGTGTGTCCGAGTCAAATCAAGTCAATCAGGTACCAGAGAGGCTCAGTGCAGAGAGGGTGTGATTCCTCTTTCCTTCCTCTTCACATGCCCGTCTGTCTGCTGCAGGTCACTCAGCAACAACCTTTTCAGGGACGATTTCCCAGGTTTTCTGGGCAAATTTCCTCTCCTCACTTTCGCGTAAGCTGCCTTCTTAACTGATCTCCTCCTCTGGTCCCCGATAGCGTTCTCTTTTGTCTTTCTCGTGCTTTCGCTAGTTCGCCGGCTCATCACTGGGGATCCCTGGCTATCGCGCTCCTGCTTCATCTGCACCTCTTGTCTGCTGCTTCTGCCACTGCCTCTGCCACTGTTGCTGCTGCTGCTGCTGCTGCTGCTGCTGCTGCCGTTGTGCCTATCCGCAGCAACGTCAGCCACAACCAGCTCAAAGGACAAATTTCAGAAACGCTCGCAGGCGCCACTTCTCTTAAGGTACTGTAAGTCTCTGCTCTCTTTCCCGCAAACTGTCCTTCCCTTTCTTCACGTACCACCTCGGATGATCTCTCCCCGCCTCCTGCACCTTGAACGTTGAGCTGGGAACCATTGTTCACACAGAGGGGTTTTCCATTGCAGGTGCCACAGCTTTTTTTGTGTAGAGATGTTTTGTTTCTGTATAATCTATTCCACGTGCCTCCTTATTGCCTCCTCTTTGCCTCCATTGCTCCCTCTTCCTCATTCTTTCTCTTTGCATCCTCATTGCCTACTCCTCACCTCCTCTTTCCCTCCTCTTTCCCTACTCTTTTCCGCCTCTTTCCTCCTCTTTCCCTCCTCTTTTCCTCCTCTTTCCCTCCTCTTCCCCTCCTCTTTCCCTCCTCTTTCCCTCCTCTACCCCTCCTCTTTCCCTCCTCTGTCCCTTCTCTTTCCCTCCTCTTTCCCTCCTCTGTCCCTCCTCTTTCCCTCCTCTTTCCCTCCTCTTTCCCTCCTCTTTCCCTCCTCTTTCCCTCCTCTTTCCCTCCTCTTTCTCTCCTCTTTCCCTCCTCTTTCCCTCCTCTTTCCCTCCTCTTTCCCTCCTCTTTCCCTCCTCTTTCCCTCCTCTTTCCCTCCTCTGTCCCTCCTCTTTGCCTCCTCTTTCCCTCCTCTTTCCTCCTCCTTCCCTCCTCTTTCCCTCCTCTGTCCCTCCTCTATCCCTCCTCTTTCCCTCCTCTTTCCCTCCTCTTTCCTACGTCTTCCCCTCTTCTTTCACTCCTCTATCCCTCCTCTTTCCCTGTACGGCGCTACGGCACGCCATGCGATACGAGTGCAACAGGGACCTGTCTCACAACCAGCTTTATGGCAACTTCGAGAATCTGCCATCTTTCTATTTCAATGATATCAGATACCTGTGAGCCTACCATAATTTGTTAGGCTGCCCAACCCTCTTCTCATGTGTTGTCATTTACGTGGACACACACGCCCATGATATCCATGTATGTATCCACCACACCACACCGAACCGCTCTGCCTACCTCCCCATAGGTTTCCATGCCATCATCATCGCTCAAGTCGTTTGAGCCCCATCTCATCCCATTCCATCCCATCCCATCCCATCCCATCCCATCCCATCCCATCCCATCCCATCCCATCCCATCCCATCCCATCCCATCCCATCCCATCCCATCCCATCCCATCCCATCCCATCCCATCCCATCCCATCCCATCCCATCCCATCCCATCCCATCCCATCCCATCCCATCCCATCCCATCCCATCCCATTCCATCCCATCCCATCCCATCCCATCCCATCCCATCCCATCCCATCCCATCCCATCCCATCCCATCCCATCCCATCCCATCCCATCCCATCCCATCCCATCCCATCCCATCCCATCCCATGTCATTTCATCCATCCCATCCCACCCCATCCCACCGCATCCCGTCCCATCCCAAAGATGCCGCATGTGCATCTACTAATCCCATCATATGGCATACTCCTCCCTTCTCCCTTCCTCTCTCCCGCATGCATCTCCATCCCACCGTCCACTCTCCCCCCCCTCCAGGGACCTCTCATACAACGAGTTTGAAAGTACAGTTCCCTCGCACGTCACACTGATGACACGCTTAGAACATCTGTAAGTTCATTATGCATCTTGTTCGATACAATTTTATTTTATTTTTTAACTTATAAAAGCTCACAGTTCATGACTCATGAATCTTTATAGCATCAATAAGGGCCTTGCTCTCATGCTTCCCCATTCTCCGTGTTTCTCTTTCCAACCCCATTCCATGTATCCCCTCCTCGCTCTTCGTGTTTCCTGCTAGTGAATGGCTGTTTCCTTGAATTCTCAAAAGGCCAACTGCAGTCAGAAAGCGTCTCGCTCTTTTCCATCTGCATGCAGCACTCGCATGCGAGCCATGGTTCCTCTTCGCATGGGCACTCGCAATGCACCTTGTTTCTGCTCTTTTGAAGTTTTTTCATCCCATCCCATTCCATCCCATATCTCTCAGCTCAGCCTCAGTTGGTGAAACCTCAGCACTCTCAAGCAACCTGTCAAGCCCACTCCCTGCCTCTCTTTCTCTTACTCTCTTCTTCTTTCTCTCCCTCTTTCCCTCTAACCCTCCGTCTCCCTCCCTCCTCGCAGTAACCTCAGAGGCAACACCATTGTGGTGCCCCTACCTGACGTTATCTCAAACCTACGCTCACTCTCCTTCCTGTCAGTATCGCCCCCCTCACCTCACACGGAACATAGTTAGCATCGCCCATCACACTGTCGCCCATCACACTATCAACATTGCCAAACAGTTTTGTTGGGCATAAATTAACCTCGACCGAGTGAAATTCGAGTCGAACCAAACAGGGGTTCCAATTCTTGCTCAATCCCACCCTGTACCATGTCACCCCATACCATTTTATTCCATATCTTGTCACCGCATACCATGTCAGATCACCCCCAGTGTCACCCCATGCCATGTCACACCCCCTACCTTATTACCCCCTACATGGCATGGCATCCCGTATAATGTCCTTTCCTGTTTCTGCCATGCCCTGCTATGTGTCCTTCTCTCAGAGGGCTGAGCAACAGCACTCTTGAGGACATGCCTCTGCTTGTCGCCTTAACAGACCTCAAGCACTTGTCAGTCCAAGCTACGCCTTGCCATGCCCTGCCATGCCATACCGTGTCATATCATGCCATGCCATACCATGTCATATCATGCCATGTCATACACAGTGCCGTGTCATGCCATGCAACGCCATGTTGTACCGTGCCATAATTGGATTCACACACAATTCCATGTCATGTCATGCCTCACCATACCATACCGATCCCAAACCTCACAATACCCCATACAACGCCACGCCAGCCCTTGCCGTGCCATGCAATGCTGCACCTCGTCTGTGCACCCATGCTGTATATTTACCATTCACCCACGGTCAGCCGACCTCCGCACCACTGTCCTGTCCTGATGCAGTTGCTTTGCCACAACCACCCCCACACTAACCGCCCCGCCACACACACACACCCACACACAAGCGCGAGCAAGCGCGCACGCGCGCGAGCGCATGGACACACACACACACACACTCACACACACACACACACACACACACACACACACACCCACACACACACACACACACACACACATGCGCGCACGCACACACACACGCACGCACGCACGCACACACACACACACACACACACACACACACACACACACTCACACACACCCCTTCCCGTCCATGCCTTGCCATGCGTTGCATTGCATCGCGTGTTGCGTGCCCTCTTGGCTCCTCCAGGTCGCTGGGTGGCTTCGGCATCGCATCGCTGCCCAACAAGCTCAGCCTACTCACTGGCCTCACATTATTGTACATACTCTCCTCTCCTTCCCCCTCGGCACCCGCCACCCATTTCTCGTGCCTCTAAGGTTTCGTCTCCCTCACCTCTCCTCTCCTCCCCTCTCCTCTCCTCTCCTCTCCTCTCGTCTCCCTTCCTGGCCCTACGTACTTACGAATCGGCTCACCCCTCGCCCCTCTCCACACCACAACAACATCTCATCTCGCCTGCCTTGCCTGGCAGGAGCGCCTCTGGCATTGGTCTCACTGGCCCATTTTTTAGTCGACTCACAAAACGTCTCACCGGCCCATTATTTAGTCAACATCTCATCTCATCTCATCTCATCTCATCTCATCTCATCTCATCTCATCTCATCTCATTTCATCTCATCTCATCTCACCTCACCTCCCCTGCCTGGCAGGAACATCTCTGGCGTTGGTCTCACCGGCCCATTTCCGCCTTCCATCCTCAACCTCCGGAGCCTTGCTTACCTGTTAGTCCTGTGCTTTGCTTTGAAGGGAACTCTGGGATAAGGAAGAGAGGGGGGGAGGGGTTGTAGCGAGGTGAGCAGGGGAGGAGGTCAAGAAGGGTGCCAAGGAGGTGACTTACTTTGCAGCTGATGCTTGCCCAACCTTCATGGCTCTAATAAGCAGTCGGAGGAGAGAGGGAGAAAGGGGGAAAGGATGGTTTCCGCTTGTTTTTGGTGCCAACCTTCTCCCCTTACTCGCTTCTCTATAATGGTTAAGAAAATAGCAGACAGCCAGCGCTATGCTGTTGCACTGCGCTGCACTTTCTGTTGCACTTTGCTGTTGCACTGCACTGCGCTTTGCTGTTGCACTGTCCCTGCCGCTGTGCCCTGACTGCCATGTGCTGTGGATTACCGTGCCCCTCATTCTCTCACTCTCCCTCAGTCACTCCTCTCTCCACTTCCCTCTGTCTTTTTTAACACGTCTCAAAACCCCGTCTGTCTCTTTGTTCCACTCTCATCCTCATCCACTCGTCACTCATCCCTCCACATCCCGCTTTCCTCTCCCTCTCGTTTCACATCCCTTTTCTTATCCCTCTCCTGTTTCCACATACTTCTTTCCTCCCTCTCGTCCACCCTCCTCTCCATCCCCCCCTCTTCCTTGTCCCACTGGCCTCAGCAACCTGTCAAACAACGACATAACTGGCAGCATACCGGATAAGCTAGCCACTTTTCTCAATCTCACAGCACTGTAAGCTATGCACGCTTGTTGAGGCAGCATTGAGGAACAGATTATTCTAGGGATAATGTATGTGCCAGAGCATGAGTGTTCAACTGCCTGTGCAAGACGACAAGTGTGGCGTGAGTGATATGTGCGGGTGAGTGTCTGCACGTACGTGGGTTTCTGCATTCGTGCATGCGTGCGTGTGGGTGGGCGGGCGGGCGGGCGTTCTGCTGAGTGCACCTGAAAGTATCGGTGTGCAAGTGTAACCATGTGGGTGTGGTTACAGGTGTGGGTGGGTGCGTGCATGCCAGCAAAACGGTACTTGGTCCAACCATTAAACCTTCACTGTAAAGCACCTCTCCTCTATGCGTCAGCTCACAGCTCTCTATAAGTCGACATGTTCCCCACTTTCAACCCCACTGCCTCTCTTCTCCTTTCTACCCTTCACATAACATCCCCTCCCTTGCCCCTCCCTCCCCCACTCATCCGCCGCCATGTTCATGGGCTTTGTGCAACGACCCTCATCAGGAGCCTTGAGAACAACAGGCTTCAAGGGAAGCTCCCTGGGAACCTCTTCACACTGCCCCTGATCAAGACACTGTATGCTATGCTCTTCTCAACGCAGCTGCACTGCACTCTCTTCTATTTTTCCTTTCTGGCGCGTTGCAGAGGCCGCTCCTCGCTCGTGCTCTCCCTGCTTGAAGCATTGTGTGCTGTGCTTGCGCTGCTGCTGCTGCTGCTGCTGCTGCTGCTGCACCCTCTGCTCTGCTCTGCTCTGCCTTGCCTGGTTTATCACTTTACTGTGCAGTCCCCTCTCTTCTTGGCTTCGCCCTTCTGTTCCATCCTCGCTGCTATATTTGCTGGTACGATGAGGTGCACTACATGCCTCGCATGCTTAATCATGCGTCATTTCTGCCTCCTGTACAACTCTCCTCCTGCCTCACTCCTGCATCACTCACATACAGGATCCTCCGTGGCAATGCTCTTACGGGCTTCACCCCCCCTGGGGCCACCTCCGCGCCAACTCTCAAATTCCTGTCAGTACCTTCCAGCCTCCTCAAAAACCATATCAAATCAAACCATTCAACAACCCATCCCTTCCCATCTTCTCCTCCATGCATTCCTTCTTTGGGTGGACGTGGCTGTAACTGCTCCCCTGCTGTTCCCCCAACTCTCCCCTTCCTGCAATCCCCTTCCCCCAAGCGACCCCCTTTTCCCCAGCCCTCCTGCCCTCCCGCCTCTTCCCCCTCCTTTTGCTGCTCTTTATCCCTCGTAATCGCTTTTCCACAAGATCTGTGTGTGTGTGTGTGTGTGTGTGTGTGTGTGTGTGTGTGTGTGTGTGTGTGTGTGTGTGTATGTGTGTGTGTGTATGTGTGTGTGTGTGTGTGTGTGTGTGTGTGTGTGTGCGTGTGTGTGTGTGTGCGTGTGTGTGTGTGTGTGTGTGTGTGTGTGTGTGTGGGGCGCGCGCGCGCGCGTGCGTGTGCGTGCGTGCGTGCGTGAGTGCGTGCGTGCGTGCGTGCGTGCATGGTCATTGTGTGGTGTGCTCTCTCACTCCGTGCGGTCGCAGTGACCTGGGCTACAACATGCTGACTGCCATTCCAAATCCAGTCTTCTCCCTCACAACCCTCCAGCACCTGTCAGTCAACCCACCACCACCACCACCGCATGACAACCGTCAACTTGCTCATCTTCCAGGCCACTCAAAATTTGGCATTCTCATAGTTTTGCTGAGCTGAGGGCTTGCAATGCTTGCAAGCATGCATCGGCAAGTCCATGCATGCAGCCCACGAGGCTGCTGGTGGTGATGGCATGGCATGGTTGTATTGACCTTCAGCCGTGCAGGATTGAGTATTGCTTCGTGAATCCGGCACCACATGCCGAGTGAATGATGCGCTGTGCTCTTGCCTGTGCGCTAGCCTGTGCTTTCGCCTGTGCTGCTGCATGTGCTGTTGCCTCCGCTGTGGTCTTACACGCATGCATCTGCGCAAGTACTTGATTTGCAACCTCATACCAACCAGGCACTATCCCAAAGACATCCCCGGTCTTGTCAAACTTGAAACCAATTTTGAGAATTCTCAAAGTGATTCCAATGCTGTTGCCTCCGCTGTGCTCTTACATGCATGCGTCCGTGCAGGTTTTTGAATGACAACCTCATACAAGGCACTATCCCACTGACATTCTCCGTTCTTGTCAAGCTTGAAACCCTGTAAGCCCTCCTTTCATGCACCAACCAAACCCGGGCTGGGCATGTCCAAAGCTCGCCCGTCCACAGTGGAACCAGGCTCTGCCCAGTGTTGTGGTTGGCCCGACCAGGTTGGGCCTGTATGTCTCATGTTTTACTCTCTCTCTCTATCTCTCTCTCTCTCTCTCTCTCTCTCTCTCTCTCTCTCTCTCTCTCTCTCTCTCTCTCTCTCTCTCTCTCTCTCTCTCTCTCCCTCCCTCCTCTCTCTCTCTCTCTCTCTCTCTCTCTCTCTCTCTCTCTCTCTCTCTCTCTCTCTCTCTCTCTCTCTCTCTCTCTCTCTCTCTCTCTCTTTCTCTACGGACCCGATAAACAGGGCTTAGTCTCTGCGCTTTCCATAGCACACCAGCCAGATTGAACCTGCATCACATACTGGATGGCAGGCTGGCTGTGCTGCCGAGTTGTCATCCCCTCCCCTCTGCCTTTTTTCCGTTCGGGTCATATAATGCATTGTCTCAGGTCGCTCAACAACAATCAACTGTCCGGGGCCGTCCCCTTCCTCATTGCTGCCATGCCCTGGCTTCGAAGGCTGTGAGTGTGTCACATAGGCTTTGAATCTCTGAGGTGCCTCCAAAGTTGTCTCTCTACCCGCAATTTCTAAGGCGCATCAAAAGCCATGCCCTGGCTCCAGGGGCTGTGAGTGTGCCACGCAGTCTAGACTAGCACCCTGACCTGACGAGAGAGGTCCCACCCTCTGTGCGCCGTGCAGAAACCTTCCGAGGCACCTGCGGACGGAGAGAGATTTGCGGTACTCTCTTCTTCCTACTTGCTCAAATCTCCTTCACGAAACTGCTGCACTTCAGTGGCCGTGTTCAGTAATTCTCTTGCTTTGCTCGTCACCTTACCTGGGCAAGCTACTGAGAAACGCTGCAACTCTCCCTCCCGATGCCCCACGTTCTCTGTGTGTGCACGCTGCGCTGCTCTATGCTGTGCTGTGCTGCACAGGAACCTGGGCAGGAACCTGCTGAGGGGGGAGATTGTCGAAAAAGTGTTTCAGTTCTCAGACTGGTCGTTCTACCCTTCAGCATCCCTTGCGGCAACGGCCGCTGTGGCTGGTCCACCGCAGCTGGAGAGCCTGTGAGTTGAGCTGGCTGTTGGGGCTGAGAGTTGACGTTTAAGTCGAGTGTAAAGTCCACTGCAGCTGGAGAGCCTGTGTGTGAGCTGATGGGGCAATAGGCAGGTGGAAAGACTCCATGCCACTACTGACACTGCGTGTGCGCCTGTGTGTGTGTGTCTGTGTGTGTGCACCTGTGTGTGTGTGTGTGTGTGTGTGTGTCTGTGTGTGTGTCTGTGTGTGTGTGTCTGTGTGTGTGTGTGTGTGTGTGTGTGTGTGTCTGTGTGTGTGTGTGTGTGTGTGTGTGTGTGTGTGTCTGTGTGTGTGTGTCTGTGTGTGTGTGTGTGTGTGTGTGTGTGTGTGTGTGTGTGTGTGTCTGTGTGTGTGCGCCTGTGTGTGTATGTCTGTATGTGTGTGTCTGTGTGTGTGTGTCTTTGTGTCTATCTGTGTCTGTCTGTGTCTGTGTGTGTCTCTCTCTCCCCTCCCGCACTCTCCTTCTCTCCACCTTCACGCTCTTTCCCTCCATCACTCTCCGTCCTCACTCTCCTTCTCTCTTCCCACTCTCTCTCACTCTCCTCTCCAACCACCCTGACTCTCCATTACCCCACCACCTGTAGTAGTGCACATGATGGCATGCCACGTTGATGTGTTTCCACTTCAAACACTTGCACCAGCATCTTTTCACTGTTGTTTCTGTTGTTGGGGCGCCTCAGAAGTAGATGCTTCTAACCCTTGCACAAGCATTCCCCCTCTCTCAATGTCAGCATCAACTATCAATGTCAGTCAGTACCAGCGACAGTTTTAGAACCAACGTCAAAGTCAGTGTAAATGGATGGATCGTTTCTGGTTTTTTTCCTTTTTTCCTTTCATCAATACCGATCTTTTTTCTGTTGCTGTTGACAACATCAATTAACGCAATGCCATGCCTTTGTCAGGTGCCTGAGCGACAACTTCCTGAGTGGCACCCTTCCAAATTCATTCAGGTCTCTCATGTTCCTCAAATACCTGTATGGTTATTGCTGGATACACACGCACACGCACACGCACGCACACGCACACACACACACACACACACACACACACACACACACACACACACACACACACACACACACACACGCATTGCATGGCGCAGATCGAGTGGGCCATCACATCACATCACATCACATCACATTACACATGATGCATGAGCCTGCTGCTCTACATCCATCCCACCATTCACTTTCTCTCCACCACCTTTCTGTTGCTACTCGCAGCTGCCTGCCGCTCCGCTACTGTATATCGTCTCCTCCCAAACACTCATCCTCCCGCTTTCCCTGTGCCCTGCGCTTGCTGAATAAACAGTCAACTTCAGAACAACCGACTAAATGGGTCCATCCCCGAACTTGGCTCGTTCGACTCTCTCAAAGAGCTGTATGTCTCCTCATGCATGCATGCACGCACCCTTGCTGACTCCTGCCTTTCCCAAGCATCTTGTGAGTCGTGCCTCTCTCACTCCCTCTCGCTGCCTCGCGTCTCTTGTTTGTCGTCACCCTGTCTTAATTTTCAATATTTTCCCCACCTGCCTGCAACTCCCCCACCGCGGCAGTCATTGTCTTTTGTGTCTGTGTTTCCCTCCCTTCTCTCGTCTGTCTCCTCCCCCGCATGTGCGGCGTCTTGCTGTGCTGCTCCGCACTGCTCTACCATGCCATGCCATGCCATGCCATGCCATGCCATGCTGTGCCGTGCTGTGCTATGCTGTGCCATTCCATGCCGTCCTGTGTCGTGCCGTGCTCGTGCTGTGCCATGCCATGCCATACCATACCGTGCCATACCGTGCCGTCTCGTCTCTTCCCCGCTCACCCATCCTCACAGTCGATTAGCCAACAACAATTTCACAGGCAAAATTCCAACACAACTTGGCAACCTCCGGCTGCTCGAGCACCTGTAAGTAACCTTTGCTGCTGTTGCTTCTTCCCCTCCCTCTGCTCCACTCCTGTGACCCACCCACCCCCCCTCCCCTTTTCCACCCCTCGCCCCCCCCTCCCCTTTTCCACCCCTCGTCTCTCCTTCCCTTCCCTCCATCCCTCGGTCCCCACCCATCCATGCCCTATATCCCTTTCTTTCCTCACCACCTCAATCTCTAATCCACCTCCCTCCTAACCCATCCGTCTGCAATGTCTCTGTTCCCGCCAGATTGCCCCTGGCATTTTCATTACCTCCTCGTAGGTTTGACACCATCGGCGTCACCTTAAGCTCTTTATTTCTCCTCTCCTCCCAAATCTTTCCTCTCCTCTCCTCTTCTTTCCTCTCCTCCTCTTCTCTCCTCTCTTCTCATCTCCTCTCCTTTTCTTACCCTCAACTCCTTCGATGCACTCACTATTTCGTTCTTCCCATTCTCTCTCGTCCCTATTTCCCTCTCTCTCCACCCTCTCCGTCCCTCCTTCCCTCTCCTTCAACTGCCGCCACTGCCTCCGCCATCGCTGCTGCTACTACTGCTGCCTGTTGTCAGGGACCTGAGTGGCAACCACCTCAGCGAATGGGTTTTTGTAGACTTCACGGGCCTTGTCAAGCTTACAGTCCTGTATGCCATCCCATTCCCTCCTCCTCTCGTACTCGCTCTGCGCTTCTAAATTATAATAACTGTCCTCTACCACACTCCGTCTGCATTGCATGGTGCACTTTCTCCCTTGAGGCGCCTCAAAAACTGCACACGGTGCACTTCCTCCCCTTCTGCACCCTGAATAGGCGTGCTTGACTTTCTCCCAGTCTCTCTTCTGCCTTGCATTCTTCTTCTCATATCCACCCCTTTTCCACCCGCAACTTACAACCCCTTTCTTCCCCTCATCCCTCAGTAATACCCCCCTGCTCTTTGATACCCTTCCTCTATAATTCCCCATTTTCTCTAATTCCCCTTTTCTTCAATCCCCCTCTTCTCCCCAATCCCCCGCCCTGCCGCCAGCAACCTGCGGGACAACCACCTCACAGGGCGTCTACCCAAACCTCCCCCCAACATCCTCCAGTACCAGCTCGACAATAACTTCTTCGCATATCCCTTCTACTCCCCGCCCAACTGCTCCGTCATCTCCATCCGCGGAAACTGTGTCCCTCTGTCCAACCTCTCACTCACCTGCCCGGGAGACAAGCAGAGGCATCCAGAGGTCTGCTCGTCCTTCTGCGGCCTATCGGCCTCAAAAGCTCCCTGCAATGACCGCGGGATATGCCTTCTTGAGGGCCCCAGCGACGTTCCGGTGTGCGAGTGCCACGGTGGTAAGGTGACCGGGGAGTATCGGGGTAGTTGCGTGCCTGCGGTGGGTGGGTCGGCGCTGGTAACACACCAGCCTGTGGAGGTGTCGTCTGCGTTGACCACATCTGGCAGCGCGAGTGTAGACGGTGCGACCAAGTCCTTCACTCTCACGCCCCTGCAGGCGGGCGCGAGTGGAGCCGTGTTTCTCTCGAATCGAGTGCCGCTCTTCTCCTACCAGCTCATTGCAGACGGGTGCGGTCGTGAGCTCGCCTTCTCCTCCTCCTTCTCCTTCAATCTCACCCGTGCGTCTGCCACCGCGAGCGGGACCGAGGGGTTTGCCTTTGTGATAGCGTTTGACTCCACGGCTCCAGCAGAGGTGGTGGCAGGCAGCATGGGGTACGCTGGGATGGCTGCACGCAGCGTGGCAGTGGAGTTTGACACGTGGCAGGATGGGGGGGGCGGCGGCGGCAGCAGCGGCGGCGGACCTGGCGGGAACCACGTGGGAGTGAACGTGGACGGCAGTGCAGTGTCTGTAGCCACAGCTGCTGCCCCCACGCCGCTCAACGACGGCACTCCAAAATATGCCTGGATCGACTACGACCCCTCCGCTCCTGCTGATGCCGCTCCTCCTACAGCCACGGCTGCTGCTGCGTCTGCCGCTGCCGGTTCGCTGCGCGTCTTCCTCTCCTCCCGCCCCTCCCCACGCCCGGCCAAGCCTGTGCTGTCAGCGCGCATCTCCCTGTGCGACGTTCTCCAGCCCACCCGCCTGGAGAGCACGTTTGCGGTGGGCTTCACAGCGGCATCGGGCAGCCAGGCGCAGAGGCACGCCGTCTCGGCATGGAACTTCACCACAAGTGAGTGTGGGTGTGTCGAATGGGCAGCAGCATGGGCAGCATTTTTCAGTCTCTCATGCTGCCTGCCCTGCACAGACAGCTCATGCTACATTCCTCCCTCCTTTCTCCATCTTTTCCCATCCGTCCTTTATTCTGCTGCTTCTGTAGCTCAAGCTGCTCTCTGTTGCTGCTTGCTACTTGTATCCGTCACTAAGCATCTCGCTTTCCGTGCGCTAATTTTCCTAGTCAAACTCATCCCCTCCCCTCCCCTCCCTTCCCCTCTCCTCCCTCCTCCCTCTTCCCTCCTGCACCTTGCAGGCTTCCCACAATCACCCACTAAGCGTGGTGGTAAGTCCCCTTTCCAACATGCACACTCGCGCATGCATCCCTCCTTACTTTTGCAAAACCAATAGCATTTGTGTTGCTCACTCTCCTTCCACAACTCAAGTCACAAGGTCTCAGCATCATCTTTCCCTAACCAGAAATCCCTTCCTCCACATCACAGCGGCGCCACTAGGTCTGCGGCTGAGCGAGGCGGCCATCACTCCAGCAGCATCGGGTATGAACCCCTTCTTCCGCTACGCCAGCTCCGGAATCGTGCCGCCGCCGCAAGAGGGCAATGACCACAGGAACCAGTACGACGTGCGCGCCACATCCACGTGGCTTACCAACGACCTCTTCTGGCCTGTCAAGACGCAGACTGCCTGTGGTGCGTGCGCCCAAACCAAACGCCTGAGTCTTCGAGGGCAAATGCTTGAGCCTCCGAGGATGTCAGTTGAGAAAAAGAGGACCCCTGACTTGTTCCTTTTTTCTTTGTCTGCTAGCTCTGTGTGTTCGTCGCCCTCCATTAGCTCCACTTACCTCCCTTCAGCGATGAATACAGAACTGCTGATGGTCGCAAGGCGGAAGTGTCTTATTGAAGATGTCAGCAGTGTTGGCATCTGAGGCCACTGTAACCACGCGTGTCAGGCCACGCTGCTGCAACTCACGCAAGAAGAAGTACCGCAGCTCGACATGCTTCGTATGCCCCACGAGTAGAGTCTCCTAACACAACTGGATCATGGCCATGTTGTTAGCGAAGAGCACTGGGGCAGTACGAGGTGGATCACCCAGGTCAGTGAGCAGAACTGTGAGCTAGCGCTACTCCTGTGCAGCCATAGCACTAGTGTAGAGCTCAACCTCACAGCTGGAGAGAGCAGCTGGCGACGCACAAGTAGACGTCCAAGACATAGCTCCGATACCATGTCGACTAAAAAGTTGACTAGGGTAAGGTCGAGGGTACAAACATAGAAGTCATATCTTCCATAAGGAATAAACAAGTCGAGCCTGTAACTATACATTTATAACATAAATACCAATTTTTAGTTTGACACTGCTCTCCCTCTCTCCTCTCACCCCACCTTCTCTCCCTCTCTCCTCTCACCCCACCTTCTCCCCCTCCTTCTCTCCCTCTCCTCCTCTCCATCCACCCCAGGCGACTGCTGGGCGTACGCGGTGGTGGGCAGCATAGAAGCCGCCTACAGCATCATGGCGAACCTCTCGGTGGCGCCGCAGCTGTCAGCGCTGCAGCTGCGCTCCTCCATGCGCTCCAACTGCCTCGGCAGCTCGCCCTCCGAGGCCTTCGCCTTCCTCCTCAAAGCCGCCCGCGCCGGGAAGGCACGGACGGCGTCACAGGGCAAGGCAGTGGTCCAGGGGAGGAATGTCACTGTGAATCAACAGGAGAGGCGCCTTCTTTACAGGCATCTCAACAACGGTGGGGGGCACAGCAAGGCGTTGGTTTGGAGGGGGGCCACTGCGAACACAAAGCAGGTGAGGAGTCGGCTGTGCATGGCTCCGTTTGTTCCGCTTCTCAAGCTGCTTGGGATTACCTGCGATGGGAAGGGTGCCACTAAGGTATGCTTATCTGGTTACATGGTTACAAGGTTTCTCCCGATGCTCCTCTCCTCGCCCACCGTTGTCCTCCGCCATCCTTTTCATTCTAATCTCTCTCCTTTCCTCCCTTCCTGTCTCTAATACGCAACAAGGGCAACAGCTGCCATTGTGGCGTGCTTTCTTTCAACACCTCTGTCCGTCTATCCATCTGCTAATCGTCCATCACTCTCCCTGCATGTCATGGTAAATCCATTATCCCTCCCGGCAATAACAGCAGCAGGCACTGACAGGTGAATTCTACATCACCGGATTCGAGTCCACAGCCTTCCATGGCTGGTTCGGCTTGCTGCTCGCAGTGCAGCGCCAGCCCGTGGTGGTGCAAATAGAGGCAACGGCACTGTCTTTTCAAGAATACGATGGGGTGGGTGGGCGGGCGGGCGGGCGGGCGGCCGATTGGATTCGATTCGTTTCCGTTTTGGTTCTTTTATTAGTCTCTCCCAGCTTGCCACTTTTCCCCAACGGCTTTTTCTGTTTCTGTTGCCTGTAAAGGAACGCTCCCACCCTTTTGACTATTCACAGCCATGAAAACCCCCCTGCACCCCTCAGCTGTCCAAGTACCAGGACCCAGCGTGCTTCACGTACAACCTGAACCATGTGGTGCTGCTGGTGGGGTACCACCTGGCAGGCAAGGACTCGCGCTTCCCCCACATGGCGCCGCCCTTCTGGATCATCCGCAACTCATGGGGGCCTAACTGGGGCGATGGGGGCCACATGCGCATGGACATCCAGGGGGGAGATGGCGTGTGCGGCATCAACACTCTGCCAGGGATTTATCCAATTGTCAGAGGTCAGTTTGTTGTGCGTGCATGCGCGTGTGCGTGTGCGTGCGCACTTTTCGACAATCCATCTTCCGGTAACCCTCTCATCGTCGTACCAAACTGTTTGTCTGTAGAGCAAGAAGAAAATATCATTAGCGACTTCAACACTTCATCTTGCTTCTCACCTCTCATCAGCACCTTTCTTCGTGTCCCCTCCCCCACTGCATTTTCTCCCCCACTGCATTTTCTCCCCCACTGCATTCTCTCCCCCACTGCATTTTCTCCCCCACTGCATTCTCTCCCCCACTGCATTTTCTCCCCAATCCTCCTCTGCTTGTCACCAGCGGTGTCGGACCCGTGCAACACAGCAGCCAGGAGCGACATCTCAGGGTCGCTGCTCAACCCGTGCGGCAGCTTCAACTGTGTTGTGGACGGCAGCTCCAACCGCTGCAACTGCACAGACCCCCGGTTCATTGAAGCTACTAATGCTGATGGCTCCCGTACCTGCGCCTATGGTATGATGGCTCCCGTACCTGCGCCTATGGTATGATGGCTCTCGTACCTGCGCCTATGGTATGATGGCTCCCGTACCTGCGCCTATGGTATGATGGCTCCCGTACCTGCGCCTATGGTATGATGGCTCTCGTACCTGCGCCTATGGTATGATGGCTCCCGTACCTGCGCCTATGGTATGATGGCTCCCGTACCTGCGCCTATGGTATGATGGCTCCCGTACCTGCGCCTATGGTATGATGGCTCCCGTACCTGCGCCTATGGTGGGTGTGAGGCTTGTCTTACGTCTCCCAACTCCCACCCCTCTCAACCTCCATCTCCCATTTCCCATGTCTCGTCTCTGTCTCGAGCCGTGCGTCTGCTGTTGCTCTGTGGTGTGGTGTGCTCTTGCACAAGAGCACTGTAGGCTCGTCTCATTATTACAGCAATCCATTCAGTCCATTTGCACTGCAGTGGATGCGTGCTCACTATCCATTCATCATTCGTCTGCTCATTAAGCGTGGCTTTAATCCAATGGATTCTGATCCATTCTAATCCTGACCCGTCCGCACTCCAGTGGACATGTGTGGGGCGTTGGCTCGCAACCCGTGTGCGGTGGGCACGTGTGTGAATGACGGGGCGGGGTCGTACTCGTGTGTGTGTCCACCGGGCTTCAGGCAGGGCACCACCGTCGATGGCACCTTCTCCTGTGCTCCAGGTACCTTCCATTGTGCTTCAAGTGATTTCCCCTCTTTTCCAGCTACCCTCTCTGACTCCACATTTTGATGAACTGGATGTTTGTGGACAGCAAGATTTCTCGTCTATCATGTTCACTCGGCCTTTACGGTGCCTAAATCCCCCCCCCCCCCCCAAAAAAAAAAAAAAAAAACTAAATACTACGGTTGTGCTGTGCAACGCCCTACAAGCGACACTCTCACACAGTACATAGTCCTGACACCTAACACCACCTGCTCAGATTATATTTCTCTGCTCTACGGCCTCACCCAAAACAACTTCTTTGCACTCTTTTTCCTGTGCCACGTGCTCTGCAACACTCGCCCCTGCAGGCGACATGCGCTCACAGTACACGGTGATGGCGCCCAACGTCTTCTGCTCAGACATCTACCCCGTCTACGGCCTCACCCGTGACAACTTCACCAAGCTCAATGTGAGTCAACGGCAGGCACGGTGCCGCTGCCGCTGCTACCGTCGCCGCCGTTGCTACCACCGCCGCCGCTGCTGCTGTGTACCCTGCTTGAACCGTGACTCGTATCAGGAGCCATTTTTGCCTTACCCTACATGTGATGTTCTTCATGTGATGCCCTGCATGTGATGCCCTGCATGTGATGCCCTGCATGTGATGCCCTGCATGTGATGCCCTGCATGTGATGCCCTGCATGTGATGCCCGGCATGTGATGTGTCGCTTTGGTTCATCCTTAAGTCTCCACATTCTCCATCTCATCAATCTCTCCATCTGCTCAGCCTCCATCTGCTCAGCCTCCATCTGCTTAGTCTCTGACACGTCAAAAGCTCTTTACTCCCTCCCCACCCTCCCCCCTGTATCGCTGCAGCCCGCTGTGAACTGTCTACTGCCCCCAGTAGGCCTGGTACTCACTGTCATGCCCAAGCCCAAACTCGCCTTTGTGAAGTGCCTAAAGAATTCCTCTCTCCCCCACCCCCACAACTCCGCCCCTCCTGTACCGGTGCAGCCCACTGTGAACTGCATTGAGCCCCTGCCAGTCGGCCTGACAGTCAATGTCACCTCCGACCCCGGACTCGCCCCCTGCTCCGTCTACTACACCACTGTCCAGGTAGGAAACGAGGTTGCAACGAGGTGACTTTTAAGTTGACTTCGAAGTCAACTGCATCGAGCCCCTGCCTGTAGGCCTGGTGCTCACTGTTGTGCCCAAGACTGGACTCGACCCCTGCTCCATCTACTACACTACTGGCCCAGTAGGCAGCGTTTTGTTGGGCTTTAAGTCGACTGTAAGGTCGTTTGCACCACTGAAAGAATGTGTGATCAGGATTCCGAACGCCATATGAGTTGACTCAAGAGGTGCATTGGTGGTTTTCCCGGCGCCAATGACACGGCGTTGCAGGTTGCATGTTTCACCTGGAACCCTGCTCCTGGATTCCTTCCGTCCTTTTATGTCCACCTGCTGCCTCAGTCCCTCCCTAAGCAGTCTGATTCTCGGCCGTTATCTTACCGCCTGCTTGCATGTCCCTCTCTCTCTCTCCCTCCGTGGGTTGTCCTCTCCCACCGCCCCCCTCCCATCCACCACCGCCACCACCGCCACCGCCGCCACCACCATCGGCTCCTTCCCCTGAATGAAACGCCCATCTGCCAGGGCGACACGTGCCAGTCCATAGGAGAGTACTTCAACCTCAACGACTGTCGCAGCAAGGACCCCCCCTGCGCCACGGTCGTGCAGAGCCTCAACCCGGGCCTCACCTGTCAAGGCGGCTCGCAGGTGCAGCCGAACCAGGCGGTGTGTGTGGAGCGGCGAGCAGGGGCGGCGGGGAAGGGGGGGCAGGTGATACCGGTGTGCTCGCAGTACTACCTGGTGCAGACCGCCGAGACCTGCGATGCCATCCGCTCCGTGCCCAACCCGCCGCTCTCTTCGCTCGAGTTCTTCCGCCTCAACCCCGGCATCAAGTGCAACCGCCTCGTGCCCGACGCTGCTGGCCTCGACCTGCACACCGGCTTTGAGGTACGAACGCGAAGCTTGCTGTTGCGGGCAGGTTTCTTTTTCTTTCTTTCTTTCTTTTTGTTTTTTGGGGGAGGGGGGGAGGGAGGGGGAGTAATATTTGTATATGAACGGCTGGCCTGGGCTTGCTCATGGGCTTTGAGATACAAGACTCGGGAGGGTTCCTTCGTTTTGGCATGTTGGCATAACAAACTTGGGGTCCTGTATGCGAACGTACGGGAGGGTTTGTGATGAATTCATACTGCTCTATGTATGGCTGTGTTGCGGAACAGCCATGACCTTTGAGGAGCCGTTAAAGTGCTCCGTTAAAGTCCTGGTCTTGCTACTGCGTTGCCACAAGTCCCTCGGTGCGGAGCTGTATGGCCTGGCTTCGCATCATGCATGCACAGCACCGAGCAGCATGACCGACTGACTCCTTCCCCTCGCTTCTGGCCTCTCGTTCTGGCAATGCACCTTCCCATCCCACATCCACATACCAGCCGCCCATACAGGTGGCAGGTGAGTCGCTTTTTGTGTCAGCTTAAAAAGCATTCTGGCAATGATTTTTTTCTATCCCATACACCAGGCGTGCATTCAGGTGTCGGATGAATACACTGTCGGGGTCTGCCCGAAAAGCAACGGGCTCACAGCAAGCGGGAGCGACCGCTGCAGCTCCATCCTGATTAAATATTTCCGGGGCATTCCAGGATGCTACAAGCGCATCAATGGATACGAGTGCGTAGATAACATCCCCGCAAGCACCAAAATATGCCTGCCCGACCAAACCAGGATTCGCCAAGGAGTCTGCACGGTATAAGTGCGGAGGTTTGCTATGTCGTGTGGTTTCCGTGCGGGGCCCAAAATAGGTTTTGGTCCACTCTTTCATATTAGGGTTCCAGGCCCCCCCTACCCAAACTCTTAGAATAAAACTTTTCGTACCCTGTTGCCAGCAGCTGTTGTCAGAAATAACGGACTGGAATGGTGAACTAGAAAGGATTGTGAGTACAAATATGAAACCCTAATGTTGTGACCCCCCTATAGGCTAACCCACTACAGCCTACACAAACACAACACATATAATGTTTGACACACCCCCATAGGCAAAGTGGGGGAGACCTAGGGGTCACAAGATCAGTCAAGGCAAAGCAAGGCAACAACAAGCTCAGGGTGGATCTCAAGGATACCACACAAATTCCGAGCACAAGCAAGTGGTCACAAGACCAGTTCACATGCAGTTTGATAATATAGCAAGAGATACAGTGATCACAACCTAGCAGGTGTAAACATGCAGGTATATATATAGAGATCACAGTACAAACAGAGTCAAGAAGTAAGCAAGTGAGGTCCAGTAGGCACAAGGCCTAGAAGAGTACAGAAACGCTGATGGTCACAAGGCTGAAGCGCCTTGGTGAACACATCAGCAGTGTTGGCCTCAGTGGCCACGTAACGCAGACGAAGCTGACCACGCTGCTGCAGCTCTCGAGCAAGGAAGTACCGCAGGGCGATGTGCTTCGTTCTGTGCTCCAGTCTGTGCTCCTCACACAAGGCAATGACAGCCTTGTTGTCGACGTACAGCACTGGAGGAGAACGAGGCCGCTCTCCCAAGTCGGTCAGCAGGTAGGTCAGCCAGCGGAGCTCCTGGGCCGCCATGGCTGTGGCGTAGATCTCAGCCTCACAACTGGAGCTGAGAACAGAAGAAGAGCGTGTAGAACGCCAAGAAACTGAGCCAGAGCCAAGGCTGAAGGTGTAACCCTGAGACGACCGCTGAGTAGCCTGGTCGTCCGCCCAAGAAGCGTCTGAGTGTCCAGTAAGTACAACTCGGTCTCGCCCTCCAAGCACTAGCCCCATGCCCGACGTACTGCACAAGTAGCGCAACACCCTCTTAGCGGCATCCATGTGCTCCTTCCTGTGACGGCCAGGAGCGACATAGCGTGCAAGGATGCTAAGAGGGTATGCAAGGTCAGGTCGAGTGCAGGTCATCAGGTACATGAGGCAGCCCACAAGCTCTGGATACGGGCCACTCGGCTCTACGGACTCATCCGAAGGCAGAGCTGAGAGCGAGTGACCGGTAGGTAGAGGAGTGGACTGAGGCGAGGAGTACGTGAAGCGGAAGCGCTGAAGGATCTGCTGCACCATGTGTGACTGAGTCAAGGTGATGGTGCGCCGTGCTCTGTCCCGGGTGATCCGCAAGCCAAGATAGCTTGTCAGTTCACCCAGGTCTGTGCACGTGTGTCTCCTCTGCAGCTCCGACTTCACGTGGGCAAGTGCCGCGGTGTCAGCAGTGGCAAAGACCAAGTCGTCGACGTACACGAGGATGTAGAACGGCGGCAGTGAGGTGTCTGTGCGTAGAAACAGTGACGGGTCAGCAGT